TAGGGCTCCCCACACACTGACGTTCTTAGTACAAACTGTGTGAGTGGTTGATACCTGTAGGGCTCCCCACACACTGACGTTCTTAGTACAAACTGTGTGAGTGGTTGATACCTGTAGGGCTACCCACACACTGACGTTCTTAGTGAGTGGTTGATACCTGTAGGGCTCCCCACACACTGACGTTCTTAGTACAAACTGTGTGAGTGGTTGATACCTGTAGGGCTACCCACACACTGACGTTCTTAGTACAATCTGTGTGAGTGGTTGATACCTGTAGGGCTCCCCACACACTGACGTTCTTAGTACAACCTGTGAGTGGTTGATACCTGTAGGGCTCCCCACACACTGACGTTCTTAGTACAATCTGTGTGAGTGGTTGATACCTGTAGGGCTCCCCACACACTGACGTTCTTAGTACAAACTGTGTGAGTGGTTGATACCTGTAGGGCTCCCCACACACTGACGTTCTTAGTACAATCTGTGTGAGTGGTTGATACCTGTAGGGCTACCCACACACTGACGTTCTTAGTACAAACTGTGTGAGTGGTTGATACCTGTAGGGCTCCCCACACACTGACGTTCTTAGTGCAAACTGTGTGAGTGGTTGATACCTGTAGGGCTCCCCACACACTGACGTTCTTAGTACAAACTGTGTGAGTGGTTGATACCTGTAGGGCTCCCCACACACTGACGTTCTTAGTGCAAACTGTGTGAGTGGTTGATACCTGTAGGGCTCCCTTGACACACAGACCACACACTGACGTTCTTAGTACAAACTGTGTGAGTGGTTGATACCTAGGGCAGGGCACCCTTCCCTGGGTAAACTAGGGACCACACACTGACGTTCTTAGTACAAACTGTGTGAGTGGTTGATACCTGTAGGGCTCCCCACACACTGACGTTCTTAGTACAAACTGTGTGAGTGGTTGATACCTGTAGGGCTCCCCACACACTGACGTTCTTAGTGCAAACTGTGTGAGTGGTTGATACCTGTAGGGCAGGGCACCCTTCCCTTGACACTGTTTAAACTACACCACACACTGTCGTTCTTAGTACACACTGTGTGAGTGGTTGTTACCTGTAGGGCTCCCCACACACTGACGTTCTTAGTACAAACTGTGTGAGTGGTTGATACCTGTAGGGCTCCCCACACACTGACGTTCTTAGTACAAACTGTGTGAGTGGTTGATACCTGTAGGGCTCCCCCCTGACACACTGACGTTCTTAGTGAGTGGTTGATACCTTTATGACTCCCCACACTGAAGTTCTTAGTGAGTGGTTGATACCTGTAGGGCTCCCCACACTGTGACGTGACCCTTCCCTTGACACTGGTTCTTAGTACAATCTGTGTGAGTGGCTGATATCTGTAGGGCTACCCACACACTGACGTTCTTAGTGAGTTATTGATACCAGTAGGGCTCCCCACACACTAACGTTCTTAGTGAGTGGTTGATAACTGTAGGGCTACCCACACACTGACGTTCTTAGTACAATCTGTGTGAGTGGTTGATACCTGTGGGGCTACCCACACACTGACGTTCTTAGTGAGTGGTTGATACCTGTAGGGCTCCCCACACACTGACGTTCTTAGTGAGTGGTTGATACCTGTAGGGCTCCCCACACACTGACGTTCTTAGTGAGTGGTTGATACCTGTAGGGCTCCCCACACACTGACGTTCTTAGTGTGTGGTTGATACCTGTAGGGCTCCCCCACACACTGACGTTCTTAGTACAAAGTGAGTGGTTGATACCTAGGTGAGGGTGAGTGGTTGATACCCACACACTGACGTTCTTAGTACAATCTGTGTGAGTGGTTGATACCTGTAGGGCTACCCACACACTGACGTTCTTAGTGTGTGGTTGATACCTGTAGGGCTCCCCACACACTGACGTTCTTAGTACAAACTGTGTGAGTGGTTGATACCTGTAGGGCTCCCCACACTGACGTTCTTAGTACAATCTGTGTGAGTGGTTGATACCTGTAGGGCTACCCACACACTGACGTTCTTAGTGAGTGGTTGATACCTGTAGGGCTCCCCACACACTGACGTTCTTAGTACAAACTGTGTGAGTGGTTGATACCTGTAGGGCTCCCCACACACTGACGTTCTTAGAACAAACTGTGTGAGTGGTTGATACCTGTAGGGCTCCCCACACACTGACGTTCTTAGTGAGTGGTTGATACCTGTAGGGCTCCCCACACACTGACGTTCTGTAGTACAAACTGTGTGAGTGGTTGATACCTGTAGGGCTCCCCACACACTGACGTTCTTAGTACAAACTGTGAGTGGTTGATACCTGTAGGGCTCCCCACACACTGACGTTCTTAGTACAAACTGTGTGAGTGGTTGATACCTGTAGGGCAGGGCACTCTTCCCTTGACACCGGGTAAACTAGACCACACACTGTCGTTCTCAGTGGCTTTGGGTAGTTCAAAAATTCAAAGATTATGAAGGATGACATTTCTCAATATGTCATCATGGCGACATCATCGATATATCAGCATTATGCCATCACATGTCATCAGATGCCATCATTTCACATCACTATGTCATCATTATGCCATCATTATCACCATGTCATCACTATGTCGACATTATGCCTCCATTGTCACCATGTATCATCATCTGTCATCATCATATCACCATATATCATCATTATGTCATCATATTTTATCACCATGTCAACATCATACCATTATTGTCACCATGTGCTATGATTATGTCATCATATATCATCATTTTGACACCATATGCCATCATATGGCATCCTACGCCATCATCATGCCATCACTATACTATCATATGCCATCATCTGTCATCATTATAACATATGCCATCATATGCATCATATGGTGTCATGTCATCATCATATCATGATATGTCATCATATCTCATCATTATTTCAGTGTATTACATGAAATGCCATCATATTTCATCATATGAGATCATTTGTCATCATATGTCATATAGATGCCACAATATATCATCGTATGCAATCATTTGTCATCATTAAGCAATCATATGCCATTGTATGTCATCATATGCCATCACTTGGCATCATATATCATCATACACCATAATAAGCCATTATATGTCATCATATGTCACCATATGTCGTCATATGTCATCATCTGTAATCATGATATCATCATTTGTCATTATATGCTATCATATGTCATCATTATGTCACCACTATGTCCTTATAATGCCATCATCTGTCACCATATGTCATCATATACAATCATATTTCATCATTATGTCATTATATGTCATCATATGGTATCATGTCATTCTTATATCATGATATGTCATCATATTTCATCATTATTTCACCATATGCTATCATATGTCATCCTATGCCATCATGTCATCATATCTCATCATATGCATCAAATGGTATCATATGTCATCATTATTTCATGATGTCATCATGTCTCAACATTATTTTATCATATCCCATGAAATGTCATCATATGTCATCACTATATCATCATATGCTATCATCTGTCACCATATGTCGTCATAGGCCATCATCTGCAATCATTATATCATCATATGCCATTATATGTCATCATATCCCATCATATGCCATCATATGTGATCATTATGCATTCCCTGTCGATGTTTGATGGTTTATATACTTCATTTTATTCATGTGAAATCATTGATACCCCGGAATATTCCTGTCGAGAATGACTTTGTAGTCATGGGATAATCACTAACTCTCAAAAGGCAACAAAGCACGGGGTGCTAAGAATCTATTCCCCTACAGTCTGGGTATACGATCCTTGGTGTACAGTACAGGTACGCTGTACTCGTCAGTTAGTAGACTACCCTTGATGTACAGTACAATGTACTCGTCAGTTAGTAGACTATCCTTGATGTACAGTACAATGTACTCGTCAGTTAGTAGACTACCCTTGATGTACAGTACGCTGTACTCGTCAGTTAGTAGACTACCCTTGGTGTACAGTACGCTGTACTCGTCAGTTAGTAGACTGCACTTGGTGTACAGTACGCTGTACTCGTCAGTTAGTAGACTGCACTTGGTGTACAGTACAGATACACTGTACTCGTCAGTTAGCAGACTACCCTTGGTGTACAGTACACTGTACTCGTCAGTTAGTAGACTGCACTTGGTGTACAGTACAGATACACTGTACTCGTCAGTTAGCAGACTACCCTTGGTGTACAGTACGCTGTACTCGTCAGTTAGTAGACTAGCCTTGGTGTTCAGAACACTGTACTCGTCAGTCAGTAGACTACACTTGGTGTACAGTACAGATACACTGTACTCATCAGTTAGTAGACTACACTTGGTGTTCAGAACACTGTACTCGTCAGTTAGTAGACTACACTTGGTGTACAGTACAGATACACTGTACTCGTCAGTTAGCAGACTACCCTTGGTGTACAGTACACTGTACTGGTCAGCTAGTAGATGATCCTTGGTGTACAGTATACTGTACTCGTCAGTTAGTAGACTACCCTTGGTGTACAGTACAATGTACTCGTAAGTTAGTAGACTACCCTTGGTGTACAGTACAATGTACTCGTAAGTTAGTAGACTTCACTTGGTGTACAGTACACTGTACTCGTCAGTTAGTAGACTACCCTTGGTGTACAGTACACTGTACTCGTCAGTTAGTAGACTTCACTTAGTGTACAGTACACTGTACTCGTCAGTTAGTAGACTACCCTTGGTGTACAGTACACTGTACTCGTCAGTTAGTACACTACCCTTAGTGTACAGTACACTGTACTCGTCAGTTAGTAGACTTCACTTAGTGTACAGTACAATGTACTCGTAAGTTAGTAGACTTCACTTGGTGTACAGTACACTGTACTCGTCAGTTAGTAAACTACCCTTGGTATACAGAACAGCTTCACTGTACACGTCTATGGGATCATGACATAAGGAGACAAGCAGAAGCTATGCCGTGGCATGGTACTACATGTGTGGAGTCAGATACAGTTTTACCACTTGTGATGCTTCAGGTGGAGCTCCACGTGCACATGGATGGTGCTGCGAGGCACCAGACCATCCTGGAAGTGGCTGCCACCCGGGGACTCATCCCGCACTGCAAAACCATCCAGGATCTGAAACAGGAGATCGTTATGTCCAAACCCAGCACCCTGGAACGACTCTTGCATTGCTTTGCGACCTTTACTCCCGTGTTTGCGTAAGATAAACCCCCAGTCACACCGGGGTCACGTTCTGGTGGCCATCAAGTCACGTATGAGGTCGGCCTTCTTGCACATTGCCTTTGTATTGCAGGCCTGTTGTACTTGGTGCTTTTCACTTCCGTAACTCAAATATACATATGACCAGATACCCTAGGACAAATACCCAGATACACTGAGACAAATACCCAGATACACTGAGACAAATACCTGGATATACTGAGACAAATACATGGATACACCGAGACAAATACCCAGAAACACTGAGACAAATACATGGATATACTGAGAAAAATACCTGGATACACTGGGACAAATACCCAGATACACTGAGACAAATACCTGGATACACTGAGACAAATACCCAGATACACTGACACAAATACCCAGATACACTGAGACAAATACATGGTTGCACTGAGACAAATACCTGGATACACTGAGACAAATACCAAGAAACACTGAGACAAATACCTGAATACACTGAGACAAATACCTGGATACACTGAGACAAATACCCAGATACACTGAGACAAATACCCAGATACACTGAGACAAATACCCAGATACACTGAGACAAATACCTGGATACACTGAGACAAATACCTGGATACACTGAGACAAATACCTGGATACACTGAGACAAATACCTGGATACACTGAGACAAATACCTGGATACACTGAGACAAATACATGGATACACTGAGACAAATACCCGGATACACTGAGACAAATACATGGATACACTGAGACAAATACATGGATACACTGAGACAAATACCTAGATACACTGAGACAAATACATGGATACACTGAGACAAATACATGGATACACTGAGACAAATACCTAGATACACTGAGACAAATACCCAGATACACTGAGACAAATGTCCAGTGTTCCGACTGGCTTATCTCTCCCTTGTGTGATGTAGTGGTAATCGGGATGCAGTGTACCGACTGGCTTATGTCTCTCTTGTGTGTTGTACTGGTAATCGGGATGCAGTGTACCCAGAACTGGGTAATCCGGATATGGCTTATGTCTCGTCTGTTGTAGTGGTAATCGGGATGCAGTGTACCGAATGGCTTATGTCTCTGTGACAAGTGGTAATACACTGAGACAATGCAGTGTACCGACTGGCTTATGTCTCTCTTGTGTGTTGTAGTGGTAATCCGGATGCAGTGTACCGACTGGCTTATGTCTCTCTTGTGTGTTGTACTGGTAATCGGGATGCAGTGTACCGACTGGCTTATGTCTCTCTTGTGTGTTGTAGTGGTAATCCGGATGCAGTGTACCGACTGGCTTATGTCTCTCTTGTGTGTTGTACTGGTAATCGGGATGCAGTGTACCGACTGGCTTATGTCTCTCGTTGTGTGTAGTGGTAATCGGGATGCAGTGTACCGACTGGCTTATGTCTCTTGTGTGTTGTACTGGTAATCGGGATGCAGTGTACCGACTGGCTTATGTCTCTCTCGTCTCTTGTAGTGGTAATCGGGATGAGTGTACCGACTGGCTTATGTCTCTTGTGTGTTGTAGTGGTAATCGGGATGCAGTGTACCGACTGGCTTATGTCTCTCTCGTCTCTTGTAGTGGTAATCGTGATGCAGTGAACCGACTGGCTTTTGTCTCTCTTGTCTGTTGTAGTGGTAATCGTGATGCAGTGTACCGACTGGCTTATGTCTCTCTTGTCTGTTGTAGTGGTAATCGGAATGCAGTGTACCGACTGGCTTATGTCTCTCGTCTGTTGTGAGTGGTAATCGGTATGCAGTGTACCGACTGGCTTATGTCTCTCTTGTCTGTTGTAGTGGTAATCGGGATGCAGTGTACCGACTGGCTTATGTCTCTCTCGTCTGTTGTGTAATCGGGATGTAGTCTCACTTATTTGTGTGTTGTAGTCTTAATCGGGATGCAGTGTACCGACTGGCTTATGTCTCTCTTGTGTGTTGTAGTGGTAATCGGGATGCAGTGTACCGACTGGCTTATGTCTCTCTTGTGTGTTGTAGTGGTAATCGGGATGCAGTGTACCGACTGGCTTATGTCTCTCTTGTGTGTTGTAGTGGTAATCGGGATGCAGTGTACCGACTGGCTTATGTCTCTCTTGTGTGTTGTACTGGTAATCGGGATGCAGTGTACCGACTGGCTTATGTCTCTTGTGTGTTGTAGTGGTAATCCGGATGCAGTGTACCGACTGGCTTATGTCTCTCTTGTGTGTTGTAGTGGTAATCGGGATGCAGTGTACCGACTGGCTTATGTCTCTCTCGTCTGTTGTAGTGGTAATCGGGATGCAGTGTACCGACTGGCTTATGTCTCTCTTGTGTGTTGTACTGGTAATCGGGATGCAGTGTACCGACTGGCTTATGTCTCTCGTCTGTTGTAGTGGTAATCGGGATGCAGTAACCGACTGGCTTATGTCTCTCTTGTGTGTTGTACTGGTAATCGTGATGCAGTGTACCGACTGGCTTTGTCTCTCTCGTCTGTTGTAGTGGTAATCGTGATGCAGTGTACCGACTGGCTTATGTCTCTCTTGTCTGTTGTAGTGGTAATCGGGATGCAGTGTACCGACTGGCTTATGTCTCTCTCGTCTGTTGTAGTGGTAATCGGTATGCAGTGTACCGACTGGCTTATGTCCCACTTGTGTGTTGTAGTCTTAATCGGGATGCAGTGTACCGACTGGCTTATGTCTCTCTCGTCTCTTGTAGTGGTAATCGGAATGCAGTGTACCGACTGGCTTATGTCTCTCTTGTCTGTTGTAGTGGTAATCGGGATGCAGTGTACCGACTGGCTTATGTCTCTCTCGTCTGTTGTAGTGGTAATCGGGATGCAGTGTACCGACTGGCTTATGTCTCACTTGTGTGTTGTAGTCTTAATCGGGATGCAGTGTACCGACTGGCTTATGTCTCTCTCGTCTCTTGTAGTGGTAATCGGGATGCAGTGTACCGACTGGCTTATGTCTCTCTTGTGTGTTGTAGTGGTAATCGGGATGCAGTGTACCGACTGGCTTATGTCTCTCTTGTGTGTTGTAGTGGTAATCGGGATGCAGTGTACCGACTGGCTTACGTCTCACTTGTGTGTTGTACTGGTAATCGGAATGCAGTGTACCGACTGGCTTATGTCTCTCTCGTCTCTTGTAGTGGTAATCGGAATGCAGTGTACCGACTGGCTTATGTCTCTCTCGTCTGTTGTACATAGTGGTAATCGGGATGCAGTGTACCGACTGGCTTATGTCTCTCTTGTCTCTTGTAGTGGTAATCGGGATGCAGTGTACCGACTGGCTTATGTCTCTCTCGTCTCTTGTAGTGGTAATCGGGATGCAGTGTACCGACTGGCTTATGTCTCTCTTGTGTGTTGTAGTGGTAGTCGGGATGCAGTGTACCGACTGGTTTATGTCTCTCTTGTGTGTTGCACTGGTAATCGGGATGCAGTGTACCGACTGGCTTATGTCTCTCTCGTCTGTTGTAGTGGTAATCCGGATGCAGTGTACCGACTGGCTTATGTCTCTCTCGTCTGTTGTAGTGGTAATCGTGATGCAGTGTACCGACTGGCCTACGAGTTCTGTGAGGATTGTTCCTTGCAAGGCATCAAGTATGTGGAGCCAAGGTTCTCACCCCATCTGCTTGCTAACACATTTGAGAAGCCAGTGTACGCCCCCGAGCCCGGCAACTTCTCACCGCACGACGTTGTGACAACGGTTAGTGAAGCGCTGAAGCAAGGAGCTCAGGACTTCAACATCAAGGTGAAGGCAATCCTCTGCTGTATACGACACTTTCCAGGTGAGAAGTGCATGTCGCCTTAATAGGATTTCATTTATATCATTAGGAGTCAGTCTGAAGTGGAAGGCAGACCGTATATAATGCTTGTCATGGAACTTAACCCAGGAAACGGATATAGACCTAGAAACATAATCAGGCCCAATATGTGGGATTGGAAAACACTTGTCAATCATCCGTTTCTGACACCAATATGTAAGATTGGAAAACACATTGTAAATCATCCGTTTCTGACACCAATATGTAAGATTGGAAAACACATTGTAAATCATCCGTTTCTGACACCAATATGTAAGATTGGAAAACACATAGTCAATCATCCGTTTCTGACACCAATATGTAGGATTGGAAAACACATAGTCAATCATCCGTTTCTGACACTAATATGTAGGATTGGAAAACACATTGTCAATCATCCGTTTCTGACGCCACTATGCAGGATTGGAAAACACACAGTCAATCATCCGTTTCTGACACTAATATGTAGGATTGGAAAACATAGTCAATCTTCCGTTTCTGACACCGATATGTAGGATTGGAAAACACACAGTCAATCATCCGTTTCTGACACCAATATGTAGGATTGGAAAACACATTGCCAATCATCCGTTTCTGACACCAATATGTAGGATTGGAAAACACATAGTCAATCATCCGTTTCTGACACTAATATGTAGGATTGGGAAACACATTGTCAATCATCCGTTTCCGACAGCAACACGTGGCTCACCCACATCTTCACAGAGAATGACATCAACAGCCATCCACATCGTTTTCAATCTTGATAAACTACGGGTCATTGTCCACAAGACAGAAGGGTGAAAAATAATAGTTTTGTATGGCACGTTACAACAACCATTCGGTCGTGACTGAAGGCTTGGTGTGATCAACATTGATCAGGGGGATATGGTCATGCAATGCTTGGTGTGATCAACATTGATCAGGGGGATATGGTCATGCAATGCTTGGTGTGATCAACAGCGATCAGGGGGATATGGTCATGGAATGCTTGTTGTGATCAACAGCGATCAGTGGGATATGGTCATGCAATGCTTGGTGTGATCAACATTGATCAGGGGGATATGGTCATGCAATGCTTGGTGTGATCAACAGCGATCAGGGGGATATGGTCATGCAATGCTTGGTGTGATCAACAGCGATCAGTGGGATATGGTCATGCAATGCTTGGTGTGATCAACAGCGATCAGGAGGACATGGTCATGCAATGCTTGTTGTGATCAACAGCGATCAGTGGGATATGGTCATGCAATGCTTGTTGTGATCAACAGTGATCAGGGGGACATGGTCATGCAATGCTTGTTGTGATCAACAGCGATCAGTGGGATATGGTCATGCAATGCTTGGTGTGATCAACAGCGATCAGTGGGATATGGTCATGCAATGCTTGTTGTGATCAACAGCGATCAGGGGATATGGTCATGCAAGGCTTGGTGTGATCAACAGCGATCAGGGGGATATGGTCATGCAATGCTTGGTGTGATCAACAGCGATCAGGAGGACATGGTCATGCAATGCTTGTTGTGATCAACAGCGATCAGTGGGATATGGTCATGCAATGCTTGGTGTGATCAACAGCGATCAGGAGGACATGGTCATGCAATGCTTGTTGTGATCAACAGCGATCAGTGGGATATGGTCATGCAATGCTTGTTGTGATCAACAGCGATCAGGGGGACATGGTCATGCAATGCTTGTTGTGATCAACAGCGATCAGTGGGATATGGTCATGCAATGCTTGGTGTGATCAACAGCGATCAGGGGGATATGGTCATGCAATGCTTGGTGTGATCAACAGCGATCAGGGGGATATGGTCATGGAATACTTGTTGTGATCAACAGCGATTAGTGGGATATGGTCATGCAATGCTTGGTGTGATCAACAGCGATCATGGGATGCTTGTTGTGACGATCAGGAGGACATGGTCATGGAATGCTTGTTGTGATCAACAGCGATCAGTGGGATATGGTCATGGAATGCTTGGTGTGATCAACAGCGATCAGGAGGACATGGTCATGGAATGCTTGTTGTGATCAACAGCGATCAGTGGGATATGGTCATGCAATGCTTGTTGTGATCAACAGTGATCAGGGGGACATGGTCATGCAATGCTTGGTGTGATCAAGAGCGATCAGGGGATATGGTCATGCATGTTTGTTGTGATCAACAGTGATCAGGGGGACATGGTCATGCAATGCTTGGTGTGATCAACAGCGATCAGGGGGATATGGTCATGCAATGCTTGGTGAGATCAACAGGGTTGAAGGGCGTGCACGAGGATGGAATGTTTGGTGTGATCAACAGGGTTGAAGGGCGTGCACGAGGATGGAATGTTTGGTATGATCAACAGGGTTGAAGGGCGTGCACGAGGATGGAATGTTTGGTGTGATCAACAGGGTTGAAGGGGGGACGAGGATGGAATGTTTGGTATGATCAGCATGGTTGAAGAGGGGCACGAGGATGCAATGCTTGGTATGATCAACATGGTTGAAGGGCGTGCACGAGGATGGGATGTTTGGTGTGATCAACAGTGTTGAAGGGGGGGGAGGGGGCGAGGATGCAATGCTTACTGCAATCAACATGATTGAAGGGCGGCTAGGGGCTGCAAAGCTTGCTGTGATCAACAGGGATAAGGGGCGTACAGTGAGGCTATGCTTGATGTGATCAACAGGGATAAAGGGCACACGGGGATGCAATGCTTGGTGTGATCAACAAGGATAAGGGGAGTACAGTGACGCAATGCTTGGTGTGATCAACAGGGATCTACGGTCACTAGGTGAAGTCACTAGGTGAACTTTAACGTCACTCAACGTCAATTACGAGTATGCCCCCGTAAGCATCGATAGCTGCTTGGCATCTCCTGCACATGGAAGCCATGAGATGACGAATCACATTCTGTGAAATGGTTGTCCACTGAGCCTGCATAGCTGCTGCAAGCTAAGGTAGAGTCTGCGGTTGAGGTTGTCGCCGTCGCAGACGTCTGTCCAACTAGTCCTAAAGATGTTCAATGGGGTTTAAATCTGGTGATTTGGAGGGCCAGGGAACAACGTTGATGTTGTGGTTTCTCAAGAAGGCAGTGGTGAGTCGGGCTTTGTGAAGACGGGCGTTGTCCTGCTGAAAAACGTCGTTGACATTCACCATGATGGGTTGCACATGGGGCCTAAGAATCTCGTCGACGTATCGTTGAGCCGAAAGATTCCCTCGAATGTGCACAAGGTCTGTTCTGGCATTGTAGGCGATGGCAGCCCACATCATGACACTAAAACCACCAAATCTGTCAACTTCCTGCACACAGTTTGCTGCAAAACGTTCACCTCGCCGACGGTAAACACAGGTCCTTCCATCCTGCCAACGAAGCATAAAACGTGATTCATCGCTGAACCAAACTTGCCTCCATCGTAGATGAGGTCATACCATATGTGCCTGAGACCACTGCAGCCGTGCTTGACGATGTTGCTGGGTGGGGATGACGCCTCTGACCGGACGTCGAGGTCGGATTCCTGCATCTCGTAGACGGTTGCGTACGGTCTGATCGGAAGTCCTACGCAGCCCTGGTATGGTTGAGGCAGTAGAAATCCCGCAGGTGACGTGACCGGATGTAGCGATCTTGTGCAGGCGTGGTCACACGAGGTCTGCCGGATCTGGGACGGTCACGAGTTGATCCATGTTGTTGGTGACGATTCCATAGCCTTGTGATGGCGCTTGGGTGAACATTCACAGCCCTGGCAACATCTGATCGAGATTCACCTGCTTCCATGACTGGGCATGACTGCATTGCGTGTCGGTGGCTGAACACTGAGCTATTGAAACCCACAACCCGTCACTTTAAAAGGTATTTTGCTCATGTTGCACGTGCAGAACATGAAGATCTCTCAAACAAATTTATTGGACACGAATACGTTTTGGGCGAAAAATTCGATGTTTTCATCTGTTTTCACAGTGGACAACTTTTATTGTCATTTTTCTGACAATGAGTGCCTCAACACGTGTAACATCACATACTATGAGCTTGTAACGTTATTACATATATTTCTCTTTAAAATTAAAAACAAATCCCTTTGCATTTCTTTTATTTCACTGACTGTCTGACTGAGTTTGGTTTTACGCCGCTTTTAGCAATATTCACTGCACGATGCCGCGTTGGAATGGATGGCACAATTCGTCAGATGTTTGCTTGGGGAAATCTTCCCTATTTCCCTCTCTTCGTTTGATCCACCAAATCTGTCCTCCCTTCGTTCGCAGTTCGGAGCAAAATGTTCGTGTCGACGTCGACGCCTTCCAATCCATCGTTGCAGGCGGAAACGCGATTCATCGCTGAACCAAACGTGTCGCCATTTGCCCAGGTTCCATGCCTGTACCCCGCCTCACCATTGGACACGTCGTTGTCGGTGTAGTCGTGTCGGCACAGGTCCAACTTTTGGTGGATATGCTCGAATCCCCACTTCTCTCAGACTAGTCTTATGGTTTGGTCGGCACTTGTCCTGCAGTGTCCGTTGCTGTAGCAAATCGGTGACGTAGGTGAAACACCCGGATGAAACCTGAGCAGGAATTGGTCACTCATGGTCTTCCACTTCTGGGATGATCTTGGGTCTAACTGAAGCGGGTATTTCGATGCCATAATCGAGATATAGTGCTGTGTTTTATTTTTATCGGACAAACGTTTACAAACACATTTTGGGATGTGCGCGCAATGGAGAACATCCACGACATGATTAACGGAATTCAAACATAGTAATTGTCTTACTGACAACTGCTGTCTCAAAATCGAAATATGCTGCTGAAAACGCCTGTGCGTTTCTTTTTTTTCCTTTTTTCCTATTTGTCTACTTTTGCTTTTCTTTATGTTTGTAGGGTAAAGTTCATACTGTTGAGCATTATGTTCCTTTCAGAATGGTCGCTAGAAGTGGCTGGCTTGTGTCGGGAGTTCCGCGACAGCGTGGTGGCTATCGATGTTGCTGGCCCCGAGTTCCTCAGCGGGATGGATCCTACACAGTGTCCCCATAAACTGGCCTTTAAGGTTCTTCTTACATTCGCTGTAGCGTTAAGCCATAAACTGGCCTTTAAGGTTCTTCTTACATTCGCTGTAGCGTTAAGCCATAAACTGGCCTTTAAGGTTCAACTTACACTTTCTGTAGCGTTAAGCCATACACTGGCTCTTCTTACACGCTCTGTAAACTAGCCAATAATATTCCTTTAACAATGTCTGTGTATTTAGCAGTTGCTTTCAATATATTTTCAAAAGTGGAACCGGATTCGTAAACAAGTAGTATGTTGCTTATCTGAATACCGCTCCGGAATACAGATAAATTATAGATGTAACAATCGGGAGGAGAAAAGCATGCTATTAACAAACAATAAACAATAGCTTTCTGGAAATGTAACAATCAAACACTGTAATATAACCACTTATAACATTAGAACCATTATACTTTATAGTAAGTGCAATTTAGCAAACATTTAGCAGTTACTGGTCACAGGATCGAGTGTTTGAGTGTAAAAATATCGAATCCTATACATAGAAGTACGTGACTTAGACTCTGTATGTCGTTAGGAGGCAGGGCCTTCCGGACAAGTCAACAAACAACACTGTATAGTGTTTCATACTACTTAAAGACATGTCTTTGTAACCCATTTCTCTACATGTTTTCAGGAGGTTGAGATTGCCGGCCTACATCGAACAGCGCACGCATCAGAAGTCAGATCGTCGGAGATGATGTACGAGGTTGGTAAATACAAACATAGCCTGTGGAGGTGCAGAACACTTCACACGCAGGCATCGCGCTGTCTGTGGTATTGTGGTATACTGCCTGTTATATACTAGTATACTGGTATTGCGGTATACTGTCTGCTATATTGTAGTATACTGGTATTGCGGTATACTGTCTGCTAAATTGTAGTATACTGGTATTGAGGTGTACTGTCTAATATATTGTAGTATACTGGTATTGTGGTATACTGTCTGCTAAATTGTAGTATACTGGCATTGTGGTATGTTGTCTGTTATATTGCAGTATACTGGTATTGAGGTATACTGTCTGTTATATTGTAGTATACCGGTATTGCGGTATACTGTCTGCTATATTGTAGTATACTGGTATTGAGGTATACTGTCTGTTATATTGTAGTATACTGGTATTGCGGTATACTGTCTGCTATATTGTAGTATACTGGTATTGCGGTATGTTGTCTGGTAAATTGTAGTATACTGGTATTGAGGTATACTGTCTGTTATATTGTAGTATACTGGTATTGCGGTATACTGTCAGTTATATTGTAATATAATGGTATTGTGGTATACTATCTCTTATATTGTAGTATACTGGTATTGCGGTATACTGTCTGTTTATTGATGTTTGTAGTATTCACACGTAGTAGGTGTGGGGGTAGATATCAGTGTCTAGAGAGACAGAACGGCGTTAGGGTTAAGGTACCCGGCAGGTGTGGGGGTAGATATCAGTGTCTAGAGAGACAGAACGGCGTTAGGGTTAGGGTACTCGGCAGGTGTGGGAGTAGATATCAGTGTCTAGAGAGACAGAACGGCGTTAGGGTTAAGGTACCCGACAGGTGTGGGGGTAGATATCAGTGTCTAGAGAGACAGAACGGCGTTAGGGTTAGGGTACTCGGCAGGTGTGGGAGTAGATATCAGTGTCTAGAGAGACAGAACGGCGTTAGGGTTAAGGTACCCGACAGGTGTGTGGGGTAGATATCAGTGTCTAGAGACAGAACGGCGTAAGGGTTAAGGTACCCGGCAGGTGTGGGGGTAGATATCAGTGTCTAGAGAGGCAGAACGGCGTTAGGGTTAGGGTACTCGGCAGGTGTGGGAGTAGATATCAGTGTCTAGAGAGACAGAACGGCGTTAGGGTTAGGGTACCCGGCAGGTGTGGGGGTAGATATCAGTGTCTAGAGAGACAGAACGGCGTTAGGGTTAGGGTACTCGGCAGGTGTGGGAGTAGATATCAGTGTCTAGAGAGACAGAACGGCGTTAGGGTTAGGGTATCCGGCAGGTGTGGGGGTAGATATCAGTGTCTAGAGAGGCAGAACGGCGTTAGGGTTAGGGTAGCCGGCAGGTGTGGAGGTAGATATCAGTGTCTAGAGAGGCAGAACGGCGTTAGGGTTAGGTAGCCGGCAGGTGTGGAGGTAGATATCAGTGTCTAGAGAGACAGAACGGCGTTAGGGTTAGTGTAGCCGGCAGGTGTGGAGGTAGATATCAGTGTCTAGAGAGACAGAACGGCGTTAGGGTTAAGGTACCCGACAGGTGTGGGGGTAGATATCAGTGTCTAGAGAGACAGAACGGCGTAGGGGTTAAGGTACCCGGCAGGTGTGGGGGTAGATATCAGTGTCTAGAGAGACAGAACGGCGTTAGGGTTAAGGTACCCGGCAGGTGTGGGGGTAGATATCAGTGTCTAGAGAGACAGAACGGCGTTAGGGTTAGGGTACTCGGCAGGTGTGGGAGTAGATATCAGTGTCTAGAGAGACAGAACGGCGTTAGGGTTAAGGTACCCGACAGGTGTGGGGGTAGATATCAGTGTCTAGAGAGACAGAACGGCGTTAGGGTTAAGGTACCCGGCAGGTGTGGGAGTAGATATCAGTGTCTAGAGACAGAACGGCGTTAGGGCTAGGGTACTCGGCAGGTGTGGGGGTAGATATCAGTCTAGAGACAGAACGGCGTTAGGGTTAAGGTACCCGGCAGGTGTGGGGGTAGATATCAGTGTCTAGAGAGACAGAACGGCGTTAGGTTAGGGTACCCGGCAGGTGTGGGGGTAGATATCAGTGTCTAGAGACCAGAGACAGAACGGCGTTAGGGTTAGGTACCCGGCAGGTGTGGGAGTAGATATCAGTGTCTAGAGACAGAACGGCGTAAGGGTTAAGGTACCCGGCAGGTGTGGGGTAGATATCAGTGTCTAGAGAGGCAGAACGGCGTTAGGGTTAGGGTATCCGGCAGGTGTAGCAATTTTACTCGGTACATGTGGGGTAGATATCAGTGTCAGGTGTGGAAGAGAGACAGAACGAACGGCGTTAGGGTTAGGGTAGCCGGCAGGTGTGGGGGTGGATATCAGTGTCTAGAGAGACAGAACGGCGTTAGGGTTAGGGTACCCGGCAGGTGTGGGAGGTAGATATCAGTGTCTAGAGAGACAGAACGGCGTTAGGGTTAGGTACCCGGCAGGTGTGGCGGGGAGTAGATATCAGTGTCTAGAGAGACAGAACGGCGTTAGGTTAAGGTACCCGACTGGTGTGGGGTAGATATCAGTGTCTAGAGAGACAGGGCAGGTGGGTGGGGTAGATAGTGTAGATATCAGTGTCTAGAGAGGCAGAACGGCAGTTAGGAGACAGAACGGCGTTAGGGCCGGGGTAGCCGGCAGGAGGGGTACATATCAGTGTCTGAGAGGCAGAACGGCGTTAGGGTTAGTGTAGCCGGCAGGTGTGGAGGTAGATATCAGTGTCTAGTGAGAGAGACAGAACGGCGTTAGGGTTAGTGCAGCTGGCAGGTGTGGGGGTAGATATCAGTGTCTAGAGACAGAGACAGAACAGCGTTAGGGTTAAGGTACCCGGCAGGTGTGGGGGTAGATATCAGTGTCTAGAGACAGAACGGCGTTAGGGTTAAGGTACCCGGCAGGTGTGGGGGTAGATATCAGTGTCTAGAGACAGAACGGCGTTAGGGTAGGGGGTACCCGGCAGAGACAGAACGGCGTTAGGGTTAAGGTACCCGGCAGGTGTGGGGGTAGATATCAGTGTCTAGAGAGACAGAACGGCGTTAGGGTTAGGGTACCCGGCAGGTGTGGGGGTAGATATCAGTGTCTAGAGAGACAGAACGGCGTTAGGGTTAAGGTACCCGGCAGGTGTGGGGTAGATATCAGTGTCTAGAGACAGAACGGCGTTAGGGTTAGGGTACTCGGCAGGTGTGGGAGTAGATATCAGTGTCTAGAGAGACAGAACGGCGTTAGGGTTAAGGTACCCGACAGGTGTGGGGGTAGATATCAGTGTCTAGAGAGACAGAACGGCGTAAGGGTTAAGGTACCCGGCAGGTGTGGGGGTAGATATCAGTGTCTAGAGAGGCAGAACGGCGTTAGGGTTAGGGTATCCGGCAGGTGTGGGGGTAGATATCAGTGTCTAGAGAGACAGAACGGCGTTAGGGTTAGGGTACTCGGCAGGTGTGGGAGTAGATATCAGTGTCTAGAGAGACAGAACGGCGTTAGGGTTAATGTAGCCGGCAGGTGTGGGGGTAGATATCAGTGTCTAGAGAGGCCGAACGGCGTTAGGGTTAGTGTAACTGGCAGGTGTGGGGGTAGATATCAGTGTCTAGAGAGGCAGAACGGCGTTAGGGTTAGTGTAGCCGGCAGGTGTGGAGGTAGATATCAGTGTCTAGAGAGACAGAACGGCGTTAGGGTTAGTGTAACTGGCAGGTGTGGAGGTAGATATCAGTGTCTAGAGAGACAGAACGGCGTTAGGGTTAGGGTAACCGGCAGGTGTGGAGGTAGACATCAGTGTCTAGAGAGACAGAACGGCGTTAGGGTTAATGTAGCCGGCAGGTGAGGGGGTAGATATCAGTGTCTAGACAGGCCGAACGGCGTTAGGGTTAGTGTAACTGGCAGGTGTGGGGGTAGATATCAGTGTCTAGAGAGACAGAACGGCGTTAGGGTTAGGGTACCCGGCAGGTGTGGGAGTAGATATCAGTGTCTAGAGAGGCAGAACGGCGTTAGGGTAAGTGTAACTGGCAGGTGTGGGGGTAGATATCAGTGTCTAGAGAGGCAGAACGGCGTTAGGGTTAGTGTACCCGGCAGGGACCTGGACTGTTACTGCTGTCTATAACCCTCTGACCAGCCATGGGAGATGTGGAGCTGAACGCCTGGACCAAAAACAACAGTGTCGAGATGTACAGACTATATTGTCTCCTCGGACTGCCTCTGGTTCGTACTCTTCTTCATTCAGAGACAGCATACAAGATCCTCATCGACCCCTCCACTTCACCGACTCAACTTAGCTCAGTCAAAAAAGAAGCGATTTTAAACAGGTCAATTATGAAAAGTTATGCATTTTGGAAAAAAGAAAATGACTTTCTCAAAAAGAAAGTGTATGATCTGGAGACTAAGACAGATACTTTTCAGGCCCATTCCAGCAGAAATATTTTGATTTGTCACGGCACAACAAATGAAACGTCGGTTGAGAGTGAGAAGGCAATTTGAGAATTTATGTTCTGAACACTTCACTCGACTCTGCTGATTCCATCCGCACTCAAAGAACCCACAAACTACACTCAAAGTCAACAAAACATCCTCATTATAACAAGATGTTCTTTCCCAAGGATACATCTGAGTAAAATATAACAAATTTATGTATAAGTTAACAACTTGTTGTAGTTCGTGGATGTGACGTCCTGATACAGATTCTTACACCTGCTTGGCTATCCCTTTGATGAGTACACCTCTGGCTTCCATCTCTTATCCCTTTGATGAGTACACCTCTGGCTTCCATTTCTTATCCCTTTGATGTCTACATCTCTGGCTTCCATCTCTTATCCCTCTGATGTGTTCTTCTCTGGCTTCCATCTCTTATCCCTTTGATGAGTACATCTCTGGCTTCCATCTCTTATCCCTTTGATGTGTACATATCTGGCTTCCATCTCTTATCCCTCTGATGAATACATCTCTGGCTTCCATCTCTTATTCCTTTGATGTGTACATCTCTGGCTTCCATCTCTTATCCCTCTGATGAGTACATCTCTGGTTTCCATCTCTTATCCCTTTGATGTTTACATCTGTGGCTTCCATCTCTTATCCCTTTGATGAGTACATCACTGGCTTCCATCTCTTATCCCTTTGATGTGTACATCTCTGGCTTCCATCTCTTATCCCTTTGATGAGTACATCTCTGGCTTCCATCTCTTATCCCTTTGATGAGTACATCTCTGGCTTCCATCTCTTATCCTTTTGATGAGTACATCTCTGGCTTCCATCTCTTATCCCTTTGATGTGTTCTTCTCTGGCTTCCATCTCTTATCCCATTGATGTGTGCATCTCTGGCTTCCATCCCATATCCATTTGATGTGTGGACATCTCTGGTTTCCATTTCTTCTCCCTTTGGTGAGTACAAACTGGCTTCCATTTCTTCTCCCTTTGGTGAGTACAAACTGGCTTCCGTTTCTTCTCCCTTTGGTGAGTACATCTCTGGATTCCATCTCTTATCCCTTCATATGTACACCTCCAACTTCCATCTCTTATCCCTTTGATATGTACATCTCTGGCTTCCATCTCTTATCCCTTTCATGTATTCTTCTCTGGCTTCCATCTCTTATCCCTTTCATGTGTACATCTCTGGCTTCCATCTCTTATCGCTGGCTTTAACCAACTTACTGCTTAGCCAGGTAATCATGTTGTTTTCGTTGTTACTCTCAGTTTATATACATCCCTCGTCTTCAGGTTACATTGCTGCTAGACAACGGTACAATAACCTGTATCGAAACGTCGCACTCACGAAATAGAAGAAGTTGTCAGTATTGTATTTCCCTACTTCTGAAATGCCACGAGAATAAGTGATACATCTGAGGTTTTATGTGGTCTAAAAGCCTTTAAATAACTGATGATTGTAAGCAGAGAGTTGGAAATGTTCGATTGCAGTTGTTTCCCTAAATGAGGCTGAGACGATGGCAAACCTGTAACCCTGGGTAATGACAAGCTGCTGAACGAGACATCCATCTTTATTTTTCGTGAAGAACAGGGGGGTGTCAAACTGACGGTCAGTGTTCACATAGATTTGTCCCTCGTGTAGATTTCAGTGCAAGGACCCGTCAGGATGTTGATATATTCATCCTTCTAGTAGATGTCAATGCAAGGACCCGTCAGGATGTAGATATATTAATCCTCCTTGTGGATTTCAGTGCAAGGACTCGTCAGGATGTACACATATTCATCTTTCTAGTAGATTTCAGTGCAAGGACCCGTCAGGTTGTACATATCTTCTCACTCCTTGTAGATTTCAATGCAAGGCCCGTCAGGATGTAGACATATTCGTCCTCCTTGTAAATTTCAGTTCAAGCACCCGTCAGGATGTAGATATAATCGCCCTCCTTGTAGATTTCAGTGCAAGGACCCGTCAGGATGTACATATATTCGTCCTTCTTGTAGATTTCAGTGTAAGGACCCGTCAGGATGTACATATATTCGTCCTTCTTGTAGATTTCAGTGCAAGAACCCGTCAGGATGTACATATAATCGCTCTTTTTGTAGATTTCAGTGTAAGGAACGGTCAGGATGTACATATATTCGTCCTTCTTGTAGAATTCAGTGTAAGGACCCGTCAGGATGTACATATATTCGCCCTGCTTGTAGATGTCAGTGTAAGGAACGGTCAGGATGTACGTATATTCGTCCTTCATGTAGATTTCAGTGCAAGGACCCGGCAGGATGTACATATATTCGTCCTCCTTGTGGATTTCAGTGCAACGACCCTTCAGGATGTACATATATTCGCCCTCCTTGTAGATTTCAGTGCAAGGACCCGTCAGGATGTACATATATTCGCCCTCCTTGTAGATTTCAGTGCAAGGACCCGTCAGGATGTACATATATTCGTCCTCCTTGTGGATGTTGTGGTGTGGTGTTGGGGTGTATCGCACTCTCATTTACGTGTGATATACATGTGTGGACTGGATGTTGTATTGTGGCATACTCTTTATCGTGTTGTATTCTATACACCTTGCTTCTTGTTTTGTTCCTGTCAATAGTGTGTGTTTTATAATTTTTCCTGTCCATACCTGCAGTTGTATTGTGGTTTCCTATCCATATTAAGTGTGTATTGTTGTGTCTCGTCCATGCCCTTGTTGTATTGTTGTGTCTCGTCCATGCCCTTGTTGTATTGTTGTGTCTCGTCCATGCCCTTGTTGTATTGTTGTTTCCTGTACATACTGAGTGTTCTTTTGTTCTAGGCTCTAGATGAGTATAATGCTGAAAGAATCGGCCACGGCTACCACAGTCTCGACTGTGACAAGATGTACCAGAGAGTTCTGAAGGAGAGGGTCCACCTTGAAACATGTCCAATATCTTCAATCATCACCGGAGGTGCTCCTAATGGAAAGGTCAACCACCCTATACTGAGGTGAAATATGCATGCGGTGAAGGTGAAACTAGCTTCTGTCATGTTTTACTCAGGTGTGTTGGGCACCTTCTGCTATGCTTTACTTGTCAGGTGTGTTTTCATCACCCTCTATTGTGCTTTACTCGTCATGTGTGTCGGTCACCTTCTGTTGTGCAGTACCTGTCAGGCGTGTTGGTCACCTTCTGTTAGTGTGTGTTGTGACGGGTTATCTCCCCGTTTGTGTTGTGACTGGTTAACTCCCCGTTTGTGTTGTGACTGGTTATCTCCCGAGTGTGTGTTGTGACGGGTTATCTCCTGAGTGTGTGTTGTGACGGGTTATCTCCCCGTTTGTGTTGTGATTGGTTATCTCCCGAGTGTGTGTTGTGACTGGTTATCTCCCCAGTGTGTGTTGTGACGGGTTATCTCCCCAGTGTGTGTTGTGACAGAATACCACTCTCTCTGTCCTGCTCCAGGTTTGCCGAGGACAAGGCCAACTTTTCCCTGAACACCGACGACCCCACTGTCCTGGACAACACCCTCACTGACGACTACATCACTGCGAGGGGGTTTGGCCTGTCTAATGATCAGATCACGCAATCGGTAATTATTTCAATTGTTACAATTCTTTTTACTAGTTGATGCAAATGATACAAGTCTGGTGGTAACCATGGTACACATATTGACACATCGGTACCAATGGTACAGGTTTTTATCCCCCCGGCATGTAATGCAGGGGGATATAGTCGACGCCTCGTCCGTCTGTCCGTCCGTCCGTCCGTAATCATTTTGTTTCCGGGGCATAACTCAAAAACCATTCAATATTTTTCAACAAAACGTGGTAGATATATCAAACAGATCCTTAAGTGGTGCCTTTTGCTATTTGCAGAATTTTGGCATATTTATTTTTCCCGGTTTTCATGGAAACGATTCGGACTTAATCCCAAAAGTGAGGGATGGGCTTCGTTACCGGGGCATTACTCAAGAACCGTTCAATATTTTTCAGCAAAACTTGGTAGATATATCAAACAGATCCTTAAGTGGTGCCTTTTGCTATTTGCAGAATTTTGGCATATTTATTTTTCCCGGTTTTCATGGAAACGATTCGGACTTAATCCCAAAAGTGAGGGATGGGCTTCGTTACCGGGGCATTACTCAAGAACCGTTCAATATTTTTCAGCAAAACTTGGTAGATATATCAAACAGAACCATAAGTGGTGCCTTTTGCTATTTGCAGATTTTTGGCAATTTTATTTTTTCCGATTTCCACGGAAAGGATATATGATACATATCGTGAAGGTGTTGCCACCCGCGTCTTTGCTTATCAGTCCCCATAGAACAGGGCTTTCTTTCCATGCAGATATTCAATGCAGCGAGATCGTCCTTCCTCCCTGATGGAGAGAAGAAACTGCTTGTGTCGGAGCTGGTGGCAGTGTACGGTGACCAGTGGTGACGGCATTGGGAGGGCCAACTGAAGCACCTTTGAGTAAATTGAGAGTATTTACGAAATAAAAGTCATCATGTAATTTGGTTGGAATTCATGAACTTGTTTAATCACCGGGTTAGTGTTTGATATGCCTACCCCTGAATTAAAATCTTTGAAATAAATTGATAAATGAAATGTCAACAAAATACAGCTAGTGATGTCCATTCTTTGTACCAGAAAGTTTCGGAACCCATTGATGTATTTACGTATCGTTTGACTTCATTTTCAAAATTAAGGAAGAGCTTTATGTTCAACGTTTCTACGTATTCCCGATCATTTACAAGTCATTGTTTGTCAGCAAGCTGAACTGCCCACATTTGCCATGACACGCCGTCTTTGAAAAGCCCCAAAACGTCCGTGTAAAGCCCCAGAACAAATCTGTTCATTCACCAGTTATTTGTATTTCAAGTATATATCATTATTTGTTGGAAAACGGGGGAGGGGCCATAAGGAGAAAGAGTGTTGTAATAAATAACACTTAGCCTCACGTCTGCTGGGAACACATCATGGTGTTATGTCAGTCGTTTGGATCACGTGGTGTTGCAAGAGTTCCAAGAGAGGTTTAAATGCAAGATTTCTTTACATCCATTTCAATGTACAAATTATTTCAAATGAAATTGTTTACTGTTGTGACAATTGGTTTTAAGTATTTTATCCATGGTGGTCCAATAATTAAAACACTTAATTAATATCTAAAGTTCATTTCCATTTAAATACTTATCAGTCAAAAGTGTAATCAATGTGGCCCAGTAAATGTCCATTACCCTGTGGCCTTAACCTTCATGTGTGATGTCAAAGCTCACAGGTCACATCTTGACCTCTCCAAAGCTCATGCATTTTGGAGCACATGCGTGCAGTGTGTATTGGACCTCCATGCTGCCTGATTGTCACCCAGCTGACTGTAAGCTGAGCTTTGTAAAGACACATATTTATATTTTACTCTTCAAGTGAACGCAATAATAATCATCAAATCCTCAGCAGCAGCCATTTATTATGAAGTGTAATTCCTTAAATATCAATGCATTAAACCCTGTTGATGCGAGTATCAGTTCTTGTGTCACCAGTTTGCGAGGTCACAAAGCCCGATTGTGTCTAGGGTAGTTCAATATTTGAGTGTTACTAATAAAGTCAAACTGGGTAACTTAATGGAGTATGGTGACAGGGGTGCCGCCGTACATGTGAATGAATCTGTCGTATTTTCGAGAAACTTTGAAATAGTTGATAAGGTTGCAATTGAAGATCTGACTGGTCTACATTTCGTTAGAAGCATATTCAGACGCGTTTTGTAGTGACTGGTGATTTTCTGTGCATAAATTCTGGAAAGTTGATACGTGACGTAAGACATTTCGGAGGAGGGGTCAACAGGAGGCGATGTCGAGGTTTCGTGTGGGTGTGACCAACTGGAAGCGATGTCGAGGTATCGTGTGGGTGGGGCCAACATAAGGAGATGTCGAGGTATCGTGTGGGTGGGGCCAACATAAGGAGATTTCGAGGTATCGTGTGGGTGTGACAAACTGGAGGAGATGTCGAGGTATCGTGTGGGTGTGACCAACTGGAGGAGATGTCGAGGTATCGTGTGGGTGTGACCAACTGGAGGAGATGTCGAGGTATCGTGTGGGTGTGACCAACTGGAGGAGATGTCGAGGTATCGTGTGGGTGTGACCAACTGGAGGCGATGTCGAGGTATCGTTTGGGTGGGGCCAACATAAGGAGATGTCGAGGTATCGTTTGGGTGTGACCAACTGGAGGAGATGTCGAGGTATCGTGTGGGTGTGACCAACTGGAGGAGATGTCGAGGTATCTTGTGGGTGTGACCAACTGGAGGAGATGTCGAGGTATCGTTTGGGTGGGGCCAACAGAAGATGTCGAGGTATCGTGTGGGTGTGACCAACTGGAGGAGATGTCGAGGTATCGTGTGGGTGGGGCCAACATAAGGAGATGTCAAGCTTTCGTGTGGGTGGGGCCAACAGAAGATGTCGAGGTATCGTGTGAGTGTGACCAACTGGAGGAGATGTCGAGGTATCGTGTGGGTGTGACAAACTGGAGGAGATGTCGAGGTATCGTGTGGGTGTGACCAACTGGAGGAGATGTCGAAGTATCGTGTGGGTGGGGCCAACATAAGGAGATGTCGAGGTATCGTGTGGGTGTGACCAACTGGAGGAGATGTCGAGGTATCGTGTGGGTGGGGCTAACATAAGGAGATGTCGAGCTTTCGTGTGGGTGGGGCCAACAGGTGGAGATGTCGAGGTTTCATGTGGGTGGGGCCAGCTGGAGGAGATGTCGAGGTTCGGTCAAGGAAGTAGGGCAAATAGTGTATAATCGGTTCAGTCACGTGGCCAATCAGGACGGACTGCATAATCCACACAGAAGAACCTATTGGACTTTTCTAACAGTCAAACAGAACCATGTACGACTATGACAATCAGCTGTTTATTATACAGTCCAAAACTACAGACATGTTTCTTTGAGAGGTACATTATATACTAGGCACATAAAGACTGTGCATACAAAAAATTAAAATCTAAATTAATCAAACCTGTGTAGACACATAAGGATTTAAACTCAGAGATTAGTGGCATGTATCCAACATGCATGCACGTGCCACGTTCTGTGACGTCAGTGGGTTCGTCCTTGAGACGCGCAATACGTTGTTGCACGTGCATTCCGGGAAAAAGAAACAGAGCAAATGAATGCCACACAATACTGTCACTTTGGAAAGCTCAACCCCTGCCCTTGCGATCGTTCAAAAAATTAAACGGCTATTGAAACGCATAGCATGCCAAGGCTCACGTCTACATAACGTCATGAGGCCATTGGGATGGTCCGTGGGGGAATGTCTCAACGACAAGTGGCTGCACATTTCCACTGCCACCAGAACACCATTTCTGCACTGGTGAGACGCTACCAGAACACAAATAACGTCATCGATCGGTCACGTTCTGGACGTCCACGTGTAACAACGCCAAGACAGGACAGATGGATAAGGGTGACCCATCTGCGCCACAGGTTTCAGACTGCAGTAATGACAGCCCGAACCATCCCAGGACTTCGTCATATCCACCCCAACACAGTTCGACAACGTTTACGTCATCACGGGATCAGACCACGACGTCCCACCATACGCCTATCCTGACACAACGTCATCGACAAGCTCGCGGAATGTGGTGCCGAAATCATGTCCGCAGACCCTTGTTTTGGTCGAGTAATTTTGTTTTTACAGATGAGTCCAGGTTTAACATTTCCCATAGTGATGGACGTCAACGTGCCTATAGACGCGTGGGAGAACGTTATGCACAGGCCTGTGTCTTGGAGAGGAATCGCGTTGATGGTGGTTCCGTGATGATTTGGGGTGGAATAACAGCACGCCAAAGAACTCCTTTGGTGATTGTTCAGGGCAACTTAACTGGTGTGGGATACAGGGATCAGATTCTTCGACCTGTGGCAATTCCTTTTCTGCAACGTCATGGCCCTGGGTTAACATTCCAACAGGACAATGCGCGCCCTCATACGGCAAGGGTAACTATGGATTTCTTGCAACACCACAACGTTGACATACTGCCTTGGCCTGCAAATTCACCGGATCTCTCCCCGAGAGAGCATATTTGGGACGAGATGGATCGACGTCTACGCCGTCTTTCTCATCCGCCAGATAACGTCCTTGATCTTGCAACAGAACTTGAGAGAATCTGGCGTGACATCCCACAAGCCTTCCTTGCACGTTTGATAGGCTCTATGCGTCGTCGATGCACTGCTGTTCTCAATGCCGATGGTGGACATCCCCATTATTGAGCTTGTGACATGGTCGTTTGACTCTTGTCCCGTTTGTGGACTCGTGACGTCATTGTGATTGACTTTTCAGTTGAAATTCTCACGACTGGTCTCATGATCCATCCATTGAAGTTTATATGTACCTTTGACATTGTTATCGTTCTTATCAACTGGGATAATATTTTGACAATGCACAGTTTCTTTATGTGGCTAGTATATATATAAGATGGAGTACTAAGTACTCATCACGTCATTGATAACGGTATTTGAATCTACATCGAAACGTCGCTCCTCGTTGTAAATACAGATCCTCACGTACAGACACGTTTGTACAGTAAATACAGGAAGCTGTGGAAAGTACAACCTCGAAAGTTGTTACAGTATTTCTCGCAACTTACGTAAATCAAGACTAAAGAACCTAGAGACAACGCAACAGCTGTGTTTGTGCCAGTTGGTTACAACACTTTACAAAGGGCAGGGAAACGTTTTTGACAGGCAAGCTGGTACTGAGGGGCGTCAAACGAACCATACGCTACACGACTGTTTCAGAAGGATCGTTCTCGAAGTCGTTCTGTGATAATGCAAAAGTACTGCAAGTGATATTTTGTACTGTGGTTAAGAGCTGACTTGGGACAACCAGGTTCGGAGTTTGAATCCCACTCGCAGGGTTCAGCATCTCCGTGGCAGAGAACAGTTTTACTGGAGGCACAAACAGGGAGTTGCTGCATTATCACCCACGGTTCGCAAGTTGCTGTCGTACTTCGTAGATTCCACAGCAATCACGTAATCGAACTGCTGGCGCTCTTAAACCCAATGCACTCAGTTTATACAAACAAGTCCACTGCCAGGTACTAGGTCTTACTTCCTTGAGATTTACATCCTAGAAACACAATTATGTGAAAGTGTTACCTGAACAAATACTATAAAGCGGTTAGCAATCGGGGACTGCTTCTAAACTCCGGAACTGATTTGGAACGTTAAGTTCATCACAGGGCTTTGGAGGTTGACAGCAAGAGCTTTGCCTGCACAGACAGCAGAAGACTTTCCTCACGACTGTCTTACACTCCAAACGGAAGCCGTCGTTACAGAAACTGTAAATAATGGGATTTGCTGCACTATTGATGAAAAAGGACCGCAGAAAAAGTTTGTAAGCGATCAAAGCCGAGTGATTACAATGAAGGCCGTCCTCAAAGCCAGGGTATATGCTTTTGATTATCTGCAATGCGAAGAATGGAATAAAACTGATGATGAAAACAAGAGTGACACAGAACAACATTATTGTTGTTTTGATGGTTTGATTCTGGTTCATGTTCTGTCTCCTTCGTTGTTCTGTGCTTAAGATACTAGCATCTCCATCAGCACTCAGTTGCATCACTTCCGCCCCCTTGTTTCCCAGCTTGCAGTTCAACTTCCGTATTGAGTCAGCAAGCGATGCCGATGAGTTTTTAGTTATGGCTGACCTTGACATGATTCTCTTCCTCCTTGATTTCTGCCTCCAGACGCGAACCACAATGAGTACATACAGGACTACGAGGACGGCCATCGTCGCCAGGCACATCACCGTCAGTATGACAATATACACCTGTGGGTACCATTTGTCAATAACACTGTCGTCAAAGGAACAATCGTATGTGTCAATCCCACTCATCTGCTCGGTCCGACGCCCATACAGCAGTGTCGCCGGCCATGACAGAAGTAGCGAACCAAACACGGCGAACACAATCCAAAGACGCGTCTCTCTGAGACTCATCTGTCTCTCAAACGGCCGACATATCTTCCTGTACCGGTCAACGGCAATGGCGAGTAAGGCGCCGGCTGACGCCGTGGTGTTGAAAGTGATTGTGAATCTCATTATCCTACATACATGGGGTGAGTTGAAGTGGTAATCAAACCGCAGGTCAACCATCTCGGCTGGAATGGCTATCAAACAGTTGACCAAATCAAAGATGGCTAAACTAAGGATGAAGTATTTCGACGTACTCGCAGTGAACTTGGAATAATATACAGCGCACACGAGCAGGTTGCCACAGAAGCCAATGAGAAGCAGGCCTCCTATAAACAATATGGCGGGCAGCTTATTAACGGCCTCGTCGTTCTCCAGCTGCATGAGGCGAGCCTTCAGTTCCGGCTCCGTGTGGTTCAGGCCGTCCGAGAACAGCAGATGAGTGCACGACGCCATGGTACCTGCAACAAGAAATACAGCTCAGTGTAATCAGGTGAGTCGTATTTCTACACAGCGATGTCATAGAAGGCTACAAGCCTAGGTTGGTTCACGTCAGAGCAGTCATATTTCTACACAGTGATATCATAGAAGGCTACATGCCTGGAGTTGGTTCACGTCAGAACAGTCATATTTCTACACAGCGATGTCATAGAAGGCTACAAGCCTGGGTTGGTTCACGTCAGAGCACTCATATTTCTACACAGTGATATCATAGAATGCTACAAGCCTGGGTTGGTTCACGTCAGAGCACTCATATTTCTACACAGTGATATCATAGAAGGCTACATGCCTGGAGTTGGTCCACGTCAGAGCAGTCATATTTCTACACAGTGATATCATAGAAGGCTACAAGCCTGGGTTGGTTCACGTCAGAGCACTCATATTTCTACACAGTGATATCATAGAAGGCTACATGCCTGGAGTTGGTCCACGTCAGAGCACTCATATTTCTACACAGTGATATCATAGAAGGCTACAAGCCTGGGTTGGTTCACGTCAGAGCACTCATATTTCTACACAGTGATATCATAGAAGGCTACAAGCCTGGGTTGGTTCAAGTCAGAGCACTCATATTTCTACACAGTGATATCATAGTAGGCTACAAGCCTGGGTTGGTTCACGTCAGAGCACTCATATTTCTACACAGTGATATCATAGAAGGCTACATGCCTGGAGTTGGTCCACGTCAGAACAGTCATATTTCTACACAGTGATATCATAGAAGGCTACAAGCCTGGGTTGGTTCACGTCAGAGCACTCATATTTCTACACAGTGATATCATAGAAGGCTACAAGCCTGGGTTGGTTCACGTCAGAGCACTCATATTTCTACACAGTGATATCATAGAAGGCTACAAGCCTGGGTTAGTTCACGTCAGAGCACTCATATTTCTACACAGTGATATCATAGAAGGCTACATGCCTGGAGTTGGTTCACGTCAGAGCACTCATATTTCTACACAGTGATATCATAGAAGGCTACAAGCCTGGGTTGGTTCACGTCAGAGCAGTCATATTTCTACACAGTGATATCATAGAAGGCTACATGCCTGGAGTTGGTTCACGTCAGAGCACTCATATTTCTACACAGTGATATCATAGAAGGCTACAAGCCTGGGTTGGTTCACGTCAGAGCACTCATATTTCTACACAGTGATATCATAGAAGGCTACAAGCCTGGGTTGGTTCACGTCAGAACAGTCATATTTCTACACAGTGATATCATAGAAGGCTACAAGCCTGGGTTAGTTCACGTCAGAGCACTCATATTTCTACACGGCGATGTCATAGTAGGCTACAAGCCTGGGTTGGTTCACGTCAGAGCACTCATATTTCTACACAGTGATATCATAGAAGGCTACAAGCCTGGGTTGGTTCACGTCAGAGCACTCATATTTTCACACAGTGATATCATAGAAGGCTACAAGCCTGGAGTTGGTCCACGTCAGAGCACTCATATTTCTACACAGTGATATCATAGAAGGCTACAAGCCTGGGTTGGTTCACGTCAGAGCACTCATATTTCTACACAGTGATATCATAGAAGGCTACATGCCTGGAGTTGGTCCACGTCAGAGCAGTCATATTTCTACACAGTGATATCATAGAAGGCTACAAGCCTGGGTTGGTTCACGTCAGAACACTCATATTTCTACACAGTGATGTCATAGAAGGCTACAAGCCTGGGTTGGTTCACGTCAGAGCACTCATATTTCTACACAGTGATATCATAGAAGGCTACAAGCCTGGGTTGGTTCACGTCAGAGCAGTCATATTTCTACACAGTGATATCATAGAAGGCTACATGCCTGGAGTTGGTTCACGTCAGAGCAGTCATATTTCTACACAGTGATATCATAGAAGGCTACAAGCCTGGGTTGGTCCACGTCAGAGCACTCATATTTCTACACAGTGATATCATAGAAGGCTACAAGCCTGGGTTGGTTCACGTCAGAGCACTCATATTTCTACACAGTGATATCATAGAAGGCTACAAGCCTGGGTTAGTTCACGTCAGAGCACTCATATTTCTACACAGTGATATCATAGAAGGCTACATGCCTGAGTTGGTTCACGTCAGAGCACATATTTCTACACAGTGATATCATAGAAGGCTACAAGCCTGGGTTGGTTCACGTCAGAGCAGTCATATTTCTACACAGTGATATCATAGAAGGCTACATGCCTGGAGTTGGTTCACGTCAGAGCACTCATATTTCTACACAGTGATATCATAGAAGGCTACAAGCCTGGGTTGGTTCACGTCAGAGCACTCATATTTCTACACAGTGATATCATAGAAGGCTACAAGCCTGGGTTGGTTCACGTCAGAACAGTCATATTTCTACACAGTGATATCATAGAAGGCTACAAGCCTGGGTTAGTTCACGTCAGAGCACTCATATTTCTACACGGCGATGTCATAGTAGGCTACAAGCCTGGGTTGGTTCACGTCAGAGCACTCATATTTCTACACAGTGATATCATAGAAGGCTACAAGCCTGGGTTGGTTCACGTCAGAGCACTCATATTTCTACACAGTGATATCAAAGAAGGCTACAAGCCTGGGTTGGTTCACGTCAGAACAGTCATATTTCTACACAGCGATGTCATGGAAGGCTACAAGCCCTGGACTGGTTCACTTGATAAAGAGTCTGTTCTGGATACCTAAGTTTAGAACTGACTTGAAGCTTAGGAATCAACATCGAGTTATCCTGTATCTGCAAGGGGCAATGGAGTATCCTAGCAGCTACAATGTTTGCAGCCCATTCCTGATGCCCCCGTGATAATGTTGGAATATTGCTAAAGGCAGCTTAAAATTATTTCACTCTCTACTTTTGTAACGTTTACGAGCATGGCCTTTAGAAGTTGCTATAGTGACTTGCAGATTGTTACCCTTTGCGTCAAGTTTTCAGGGCAACACTGCTGTGGGCTGTGTCCCATGCACGACCAAAGTCCTGAGTAAAATATCGTTATACCGCTAGGAATTACATGTGCAGAGATAAACAAAAACGACAAACAAAATGTTCTGGACGAAATCTGCGACAAGACGATTTGAAATCCCATCAGAGGTTTTCATTTGATTTTGCCAGAGATACCCACAGATTCATAAATCTGCTCAATGTTACATGTTTTGGATAAACACAGACCATATAACCATAATGAGACACATTTACACATTCAGACTCACATGTTGACACATTCAGACTCACATGGACACATTCAGACTCACATGGACACATTTAGACTGACATGTACATATTCAGACATCCATATACACATTCAGACTCACATGGACACATTCAGACTCATATGTACACATTTAGACTCACATGGACACATTTAGACTCGCATGGACACATTCAGACCCACATGGACACATTCAGACTTACATATTCAGGCCCACATGTAACCATCAGACTCACATCTACATATTCAGACTCACATGCACCTATTCAGACTCACATGTATATATTTAGACTAGACTCCCATTTACACATTCAGACTCACATGGACACGTTCAGACTCACATGGACACATTCAGACTTACATGTACACATTCAGACTTCCATATACACATTCAGACTCACATGGACACATTCAGACTCCCATTGAAACATTCAGACTCACATGGACACATTCAGACTCACATGGACACATTCAGACTCACATGCACCTATTCAGACTCACATGTATATATTAAGACTAGACTCCCATTTACACATTCAGACTCACATGGACACATTCAGACCCACATGGACACATTCAGACTCACATGGACACAATCAGACTCACACGCACCTATTCAGACTCACATGCATGTTCTTAAGGCATTTTTGTTTTATCACTAAAACTGCTCGCCCAAACGCACTCAGTGCATACTAGACGTATCACCCGAACACACCCGGAGAAGAGCACGGGAAAAACGAATAGGTTTTGCATATATAAGACGGTGGTCAGCGATACACTGCGCATTCGCTCCTTTCTGCCATTCGATGCTATTCGTTACAGGTCGTGTGTAGGCATTTATTTAGACATTTAGACTACGAATGACTTAGATGTTAGATGTGTAGGTTCAATTGGCTATTGTGGCGTTAGGTTGTTGAACTTGCATTAGTGTGTTTAAGGGTTAGACAATAAGCGGTATTTAGCAGTTCGTTTCATCTCAAAGTTCATTTAGCATCGCTTAAGAGAATCACGTTTAGTTCTTTGTAAATTTCATAGTTTTCTCACTTATAATAGTTATCACGTTTAGTTCCTTGTTTTAGGCCAAAAGGTAACTTCGAAATTTTAGTTGATTAGGAATTCAGTTAAGTCTCATAGCTCTGCCCAATCGTTTTATTTTCCACTGCGCAACAATGCATATATTAAGACTAGACTCCCATTTACACAGTTAGACGCACATGGACAAATTCAGACTCACATCGACACATTCAGACACACATGGACACATTCAGACTCACATGGACACATTCAGATTCACATGGACACATTCAGAGTCACATGGACACATTCAGAGTCACATGGACACATTCAGACGCACATGGACACATTCAGACGCACATGGACAATTTCAGACCCACATGGACACATTCAGACTCCCATGGACAATTTCAGACTCACATGGACACATTCAGACTTACATGGACACATTCAGACTCACATGAACACATTCAGATTCGCATGGACACATTCAGACTCACATGGACACATTCAGACTCCCATTTACACATTCACACTTACGTGGACACATTCAGACTCACATGGACACATTTAGACACACATGGACACATTCACACTTACATGGACACATTCAGACTCACATGGACACATTCAGACTTATATGTACGCATTCAGACCCACATGGACACATTCAGACTCACATGGACACATTCAGACTCACATGGATAAATTCACTCACATGAACACAGTCAGACCCACATGTAACCATCAGACTCAAATCTACATATTAAGACTCACATGCACCTATTCAGACTCACATGTATATATGTAGATCAGACATTTACACACATGCACCTATTCATGGACACTCAGACTCACATATATTCAGACTTACATGTACATATTCAGACTTCCATATACACATTCAGACTCACATGGACACATTCAGACTCACATGGACACATTCAGACTCACATGGACACATTCAGACCCACATGGACACATTCAGACTCATGGACACATTCAGACTCATGTACCTATTCAGACTCACATGAAAATATTCAGGCTAAACTCCCAGATACACATTCAGACTCACATGGACACATTCAGACTCACATGGACACATTCAGACTCACATTTAGATTCACATGGACACATTCAGTTCCCTACAATCATCACATGTGGAGCCCCTGCAGCCCCCGACATCAGCTCCTTACGGTCATCGCATCTGGAGCACCTGGAGCACCCAACACCAGCTCCCTATGATCATCACATCTGGAGCCCCTGCTGCCCCTGACATCATTTCCCTATGGTCATCACATGTGGAGCCCCTGAATCCCCCGACATCAGCCCCCTACAGTCATCACATGTGGAGCCCCTGCAGTCCCCGGCATCAGTTCCCTACAGTCATCACATGTGAAGCCCTGCAGACATCAGTTCCCTATGGTACACATCAGACCCACATGTGAAGCCCCTGCAGACTCCCCGACATCAGCCCCTACAGTCATCACATGTAGCCCCTGCAGCCTCCCGACATCAGTTCCAGGCTATGGTCACATGTGAAGCCCCTGCAGACCCCAGACATCAGTTCCCTATGGTCATCACATGGAGCCCTGCAGACCCCCGACATCAGCCCCTACAGTCATCACATGTGGAGCCCCTGCAGCCCCCGACTCAGCCCCTACAGTCATCACATGTGGAGCCCCTGCAGACCCCGACATTAGCCCCTACAGTCATCACATGTGGAGCCCCTGCAGCCCCCGACATCAGCTCCCTACAGTCATCACATGTGGAGCCCCTGCAGACCCCGACATCAGCCCCCTACAGTCATCACATGTGGAGCCCCTGCAGACCCCGACATCAGCCCCCTACAGTCATCACATGTGAAGCCCCTGCAGACCCCGACATCAGCCCCTATACAGTCATCACATGTGCCCCTGCAGACCCCCTGCAGACCCCGACAGTCATCATGTGGGAGCCCCTGCAGACCCTGAGTCATCACATGTGGAGCCCTGCAGACCCCGACATTAGCCCCTACAGTCATCACATGTGGAGCCCTGCAGACCCCGACATCAGCCCCCTACAGTCATCACATGTGGAGCCCCTGCAGACCCCGACATTAGCCCCCTACAGTCATTACATGTGGAGTCCCTGCAGACCCCGACATCAGCCCCCTACAGTCATCACATGTGGAGCCCCTGCAGACCCCGACATCAGTTCCCTACAGTCATCACATGTGGAGCCCCTGCAGACCCCGACATCAGCCCCCTACAGTCATCACATGTGGAGCCCCTGCAGACCCCGACATCAGCCCCTACAGTCATCACATGTGAAGCCCCTGCAGCCCCCGACATCAGCCCCCTACAGTCATCACATGTGGAGCCCCTGCAGACCCCGACATTAGCCCCCTACAGTCATCACATGTGGAGCCCCTGCAGCCCCCGACATTAGCCCCCTACAGTAATCACATGTGGAGCCCCTGCAGCCCCCGACATTAGCCCCTTACAGGCATAACATGCCCGGCCATGGCATCTATTGGAAAATGATGTTTGTGTGGCATCACAACACTGAATGTGAAAACCGTTCATGAAATTGGTTTGAACTTCAGCGTTCCAGTATGCAGCTGACGCAGCTCTTGCATGGCATCGTCTCGCTGATAATGGTGCACAAATGAGAAAGGCTCAAGCTTACAAGATACATCCCCAGTGAACATAACGAGGTTCCTTTTTTAAATAACCACATCTTATCACAGTTCGTACTTGTTTGGCGATGCCAAGGTTTGCTTACCCTGAACATTTTACTGGCACATATATAACTGGGTCAAGGCAAAATGTGAAGTTATTGACATGTCTAAACTTCTCACCAGAGTCGTCAGCAGCTTCAGGAACCGCAGCAACATCAGTAACTTCAGCAATACCGGCTACACCGGCTACACCGGCTACACCAACAAGGACAGCATGACTAGCACTTTAACGGTGGGTTGACGAGAGGGGCGTGCTGTGTGCGGTGTCCGTGAGGGTGCAGGATGGGATCATGTGGACAGCGTCTTGATGTGAAACCCGGCGCGTTTAGACGAACTCCCGACACACAGATCCGCTACACAGATCCGCTACACAGATCCGCTACACAGGGCGTGTGTAGTGGTTTCAGTGTAAGTGGTGAAACAGTACCAACAGTGTCGCGTCGTACATCGGTTGTGAAACAGTACCAACAGTGTCGCGTCGTACACCTGTTGTGAAACAGTACCAACAGCATCGCGTCGTACCTTGGTTGTGAAACAGTACCAACAGTGTCGCATCGTACATCGGTTGTGAATCGTACATCGTAGTTGGGTTGTGAAACAGTACCAACAGTGTCGCGTCGTACACCTGTTGTGAAACAGTACCAACAGTGTCGCGTCGTACCTTGGTTGTGAAACAGTACCAACAGTGTCGCGTCGTACCTTGGTTGTGAAACAGTACCAACAGTGTCGCATCGTACATCGGTTGTGAAACAGTACCAACAGTGTCGCGTCGTACACCGGTTGTGAAGGATCGGTATATATGGACAGTTATATATATGAACAGGTATACATATGGACAGGTAATTTGGAAACCACGGCAGGGTCATTATCAACAAGAGCAATCATATAAAAAGGTAGCAGTTAGAGGACTACATTGAGTCCTTTGAGATGATGACAGGAATGGCACCTGCAACAGGTACAGAGTGACATCGTCGTGGAAGGCATCCAAGCTCCTCACACCTTCCACAACAGCACCTCCTACCTGCAACTGTACGGTTATACCTGGGATACGCCCACCCACCAGACTACCACTTTACTGATCACATGAGCCTTACACACGTGTCACAACCTACAACACAGCTGCAGCGAGCAGTCAGCGTTCTATGTAGAAGTAGGACATGATTCGGCGAAACAGATAGGCAGCAGCTTAATGCGCCAACAAACACATCTTGGTCCATCTCGGCGTTATATGTACATTTAATATGTTGACTTTCTGCTAAGCGAATTCGGTAAACATCATCAGGTGTGTTCCGAATACGCGCGGCGCCTCTGTGTTTCTTTCCTCAAAGATACGTTACGATAACTCTCCACTATATCCTGGATGTATCCGCGGCTTGGGCGATGATTTTATTACCTCCCTTGGCTGGCTCCGCATTCTCACAGTAGCCAATCAGCTAAGCCGTCGTTACAACCGAGCATGCCAGTGTCAACAAAGATTATTTGGGAAATAATAAAGACAAATTCACAGATGTGAAAGGACTCCTTCGATTTCTTTCAGAGTACCTCTGCATCAATTGTGTTGCCAAGTATAAACGGTTAGATAATTTAAGAAGCGAAAGTGAGTTGTGATTGGTTCGCTTAACTTCCCAGCGTAGGCACCTGATTGGATAAAAAGCCAGCCTAGGGAGGTAATAAGATCATCGCCCCAAGCCGTGGATGCATCCAGGTCAAGTGGAGAGTTATCATTACGTATACCCTGGAGATTATCGAGGATGTTCGCCCTGTTGTTTCAGGGTTACCTACACAATAGGTGACTGAATCACGACTAGACAATACCATTCAGAATTTGTCGAATTAACAATGGCACTTTGAATATCTACACAACTCCTCCAATAGAATGCAGTGTAATCATGATTCACGTACAAATGAACTTTTGACTCTGAAATCCTAAACGATATTATCAAGTGTGGTGGAACATTCAACAGGAGCGGCCCAGCAGGTGTGTGGATCTCGGGGTCGTGAGTGCCTTCATTATCCGACTGCCAGATACATGGTGGTGCCGGTGATCACATGCTTGGAATCAGTCCGTCAACATCAGTAGGAAATAAAGGAACACAATCTGAACATGCAGATATCTTCTTGTCTTCTGGTGTAGGCCAGGCATGTGTGTTTCCCAGGACGCGCATCGTTCCAGAGAAGGACACATCACCAGAGACCATGGTCTCTGACATCACGAAGTCATTGTGTTCCTCGTCACTAGGAGTGCTCATTGATAACTTCTAAATTATACACACAAAATGTTACTTGCTGGAAATATATTCCTATTTGATGTAATCGGACGTGTGGAAGTTAGCATAGTTTAGATGTTTTGGAGTTAAAGAGTAATCAGGAATCTTGTATAGGAGACAGGCAAACACCTATCATGCAACATTACATCACGGTTACCGGTTGTGTAAAACAGATGATATAGATAGATAGATAGATAGATAGATAGATAGATAGATAGATAGATAGATAGATAGATAGATAGATAGATAGATAGATAGATAGATAGATAGATAGATAGATAGATAGATAGATAGATAGATAGATCGATCAATCATATCTCTGTACAACACATTCTCAAATGTTCATACCGATCCATGTTGCAATTATCCTGCCCAGTAAAATCATTGTAAAGTCTTGTTTGCTGAAAATACACCTCACACAGAGACACACTAATAACACGAGTACTGCTGTCAACAATACTGAAAATACACCTCACACGGAGACACACTAATAACACGAGTACTACTGTCAACAATACTGAAAATACACCTCACACAGAGACACACTAATAACACGAGTACTGCTGTCAACAATACTGAAAATACACCTCACACACGGACACACACTAATAACACAAAGTACTGCTGTCAACAATACTGAAAATACACCTCACACGGAGACACACTAATAAACACAAGTACTGCTGTCAACAATACTGAAAATACACCTCACACGAGACACACTAATAACACGAGTACTGCTGTCAACAATACTGAAAATACACCTCACACAGAGACACACTAATAACACAAGTACTGCTGTCAACAATACTGAAAATACACCTCACACGGAGACACACTAATAACATGAGTACTGCTGTCAACAATACTGAAAATACACCTCACACGGAGACACACTAATAACATGAGTACTGCTGTCAACAATACTGAAAAGCACCGGAGTGGTTCAACGTCATATGATGATGACTTCAGGTAATGACAGTTTTTGATGCCTCGAATCCAGTGAATTTCACGGTCCCAACCAGGGACTCACTCCGTCATCATTTTCTAAATCATAGGGGCCACAGACCCAGACAAGCTGTGAGTTGAAAGCGTTGCTTGGCAAGTTCATAGATAATGCACATTTAATCCCGTTAAAGGGAGCTGTTAACAAGCGGTGGATGATATGATAACGGTATCTGATGGACACTCGCGTGTAGTATAAACTATTCAATTAAAAGTGGGCATGTTCAGTAACGTCAGGTCACAACTGACACATGACGGGTAAACGGTGAAATGTATCACCGATTAGAGGCCGAATTTTACCGCATTGGAGGAATCTTTGCTGACACAATTATGTAAGTTCTCTGTGTTAATATTGTCAAGAGAATGCTATTTCTCCCAAACGATCTTTAGCTTGCGGTGAGGTCCTGGACCCCGTTCCTCAAAGCGATCGTTCTAGACAGTCGTAAGTCTGTGTTAAAGTATGAGGTACCTCAGGAACAGGGCCCTGACTGCTACTTGACTGGACTCCGATGGAAGATTGTGATATCATCATCACACATCACTATCAGTGAAGGACTGGGTTCCAGGCTGCTTGTGTAGGTTGTATGGCAAGCCTCGGCAGACTCCCCACCCACACCATCTGTTGTAGCCGACATCGACAGTGGTTATTCCAGGCCGCCACCCCCGAGAAGTCAACACTGATACATAAACACACACCCGCCGACCCGAGGTGTAACCTAAGGAAAAACTGCAGTTTAATTATAGCACGATCATGGAGATATCTGACTGAAAGGGAAGGATTCTCTGATAGTCCCCTGTCCGCAGATATCCTAATGTCCTCTCTCATATCTGCCCTACTGTCATTCTCACCCCTCTTCCTCTCTATCCTCCATCTATCCTCTGATATCTCTCAAAGTCTTCTCCTCAGTTCCATTTTCCCAGTTCACCTTGTCTCTCCCCAAATGTTCTTCTCATCTCTCCCTCTTTCTATCATCTTACCCTCTGATACCTCTCCCCAAATATTCTTCTCATCTCTCCCTCTTTCTATCATCTTACCCTCTGATACCTCTCCCAAATGTGCTTCTCATCTCTCCTCCTTTCTATCATCTTATCCTCTGATACCTCTCCCCAGTGTTCTTCTCATCTCTCCTCCTTTCTATCATCTTGGGGGCGGTGGGGTAGCCTGGTGGTTAAAGCGTTCGCTCGTCACGCCGAAGACCCGGGTTTGATTCCCCACATGGGTACAATTTGTGAAGCACATTTCTCGTGTCCCCCGCCGTGATATTGCTGTCATATTGCTAAAAACGGCGTTAAGTCATACTCAGTCAGTCTATCATCTTATTCACTGATACCTCTCCCAAATGTTCTTCTCATCTCTCCTCCTTTCTATCATCTTATCCTCTGATATCTCTCCCAAATATTCTTCTCATCTCTCCTGCTTTCTATCATCTTATCCTCTGATACCTCTCCCAAATGTTCTTCTCATCTCTCCTCCTTTCTATCATCTTATCATCTGATACCTCTCCCAAATGTTCTTCTCATCTCTCCTGCTTTTATCATCTTATCCTTCTGATACCTCCCAAATGTTCTTCTCATCTCTCCTTCTTTCTATCATCTTATCCTCTGATACCTCTCCCAAATGTTCTTCATCATCTCTGCTATCATCTTTTATCCTCTGATACCTCTCCCAAATATTTCTTCTCCATCTCTCCTCCTTTCTATCATCTTGAGGGGCGGTGGGGTAGCCTACCAATTAGGTTAAAGCGTTCGCTCGTCACGCCAAGACCCGGTTTTGATTCCCCCACATGGGTACAATTTGTGAAGCTCCATTTCTCGTGTCCCCGCCATTGATATTGCTGTCATATTGCTCCTAAAACGGCGTTAAGTCATACTCAGTCAGTCCATCATCTTATTCATTGATACCTCTCCCAAATGTTCTTCTCATCTCTCCTTCTTTCTATCATCTTATCCTCTGATATCTCTCCCAAATATTCTTCCTCATCTCCTGCTTTCTATCATCTCATCCTCTGATATCCTCTCCCAAATGTTCTTCTCATCTCTCCTGCTTTCTATCATCTTATCCTCTGATTACCTCTCCCAAATGTTTTTCTCTCATCTCTCCTCCTTTCTATCATCTTTATCCTCTGATGCCTCTCCCCAAATGTTCTTCTCATCTCTCCTGCCTATCATCTTATCCTCTGATACCCCTCTCCCAAATGTTCTTCTCATCTCTCCTTCTTTCTATCATCTTATCCTCTGATACCTCTCCCAAATGTTCTTCTCATCTCTGCTTTTCTATCATCTTATCCTCTTGATACCTCATCAAATGTTCTTCCTCATCTCTCCTCCTTTCTATCATCTTTAATCCTTTGTCTTCCAATCATTCATAAAGCAAGTTCGCTCCTTTCATCCACCTTATCCTCCATTCTCATGTCCAAATGTGTCTTCTTTGGCTCTTCACTTACTCTATCAGTCCGCCATCCTTTATTCTGTCCATTATTCTTCTCATCTCTCCTTCTTTCCATCTCTCCATCCTCTTCTTTCCATCCTTCTTCTCTCACTTTCTCTCATCTCTCCTTCCATCTTCTTCATCTCCATCCATCCCTCTCCTTCCATCATTTCTTCTCATCTCTTCCTCCTTTCTATCATCTTCCCCTCTGTTACCTCTCCCCCATGTTCTTCCATCTCTCCTTTTCCTTATCCTCCATTACCTCTCCATGTTCTTCTCATCTCTTCTTTCCTGTCTATCCTCTGTCCCTCTCCATGTTCTTCTCATCTCTCTTTCTATCATCTTATCCCTCTAATCTCTCTAAATGTTCTTCTCATCTCTCCTCTTTCCTCATCCATATCCATCTGTCCTCTCTCCCATGTTCTTCTCATCTCTCCTCCCTTTCTATCATCTGTCCTCTCTTACCTTCCTCAAATGTTCTTCATCTCTCCTTCTTTCCACCTCATCCTCTGTTCTCCTTCCCAAATATTTCACCTCTCTCCTTTCCTATCTTCTTCTCCATCTCTCCCCTTATTTCTATCTCATCTCTCCTTTTCCTCTTATCTTCTCTCCCTCTCCATTCTGTCATCATCTCTCCTTTCCTATTTCTTCATCTCTGTTTCTCATCCATCATTCTTCTCATCTGTCCCTCCTTTCTTCATCTCTCTTTTCCTCATCTTGTACCTCTCTCCAAATGTTCTTCTCATCTCTCCCTCCTTTCTATCATCCTCTCCTTCCATCTGATCTCTCCCCAAATGTTCTTCCTCATCTCTCCTTCCATTTCCTGTCTCTGTCCTCTGTCCACCTCATCTGTTCTTCCTCATCTCTCTATCCTCTGTCTATCATCTTATCCTCTCATACTTCTTCTCTGTCTCTTTCTATCATCTTCCTCTGTGCCTCTCCAAATATTCCTCTCATCTCTCCTTCTTTCTGTCTTCGTCTCTCCTGTCCTCTCCTCTGATTCTCAAGTCTTCCTCTCATCTCTCCTTTCTATCCTGTCTCCTCCATTCTCCTTCTTCTCATCTTCTCCTTTCTGCTTCTCTGTCCTGTCCTCTGATTCTCTCTCTCTTCTCATCTCTCTCCTTTCTATCTATCTTGTCCTCTGTGTCCTCTCTCTGTGTTCTTCTCATCTCTCCTTCTGTGTCCTTGTCTCTCATTCTCTCTCCAAATGTTCTTCTCTGTCTCTCCTTCTTTCATCTGTCTTGTCGTCTGTGTCTTCCCAAATGTTCTTCTCATCTCTCCTTCTTTCCCTCCCTCTGTGTTCTTCTCTCATCTCTCCTTGTTCTGTCTCTTGTCTCTCTTCTTGTCCTTTCTGTCCTCTCCTCTCTCCTCTGTCTTCTCCTCTGTCTGTCTCTGTCTTCTTCCTCTCTTTTCCTGTCTCCTTGTCTCTCTGTGTCTCTCTCTGTGTCCTCTCCTGTCTCTCCTCCTGTCCTCTTGTCCTCTCTCCTTCTGTCTCTCTTGTCCTGTCCTTGTCTCTGTCTGTGTTCTTCTCTTCTCTCCTGTCTTTCCTGTCACCTTGTCTCTGTGTCTCTCTGTGTTCTTCTCGTCTCTCCTTTCTCTGTCGTCTCTGTCCTCTGTCTCTCCTCCTTTCTGTCTCCTGTCCTCTGTGTCTCCTTCTGTCTCGTCCTCCAGTCCTTTCTCCTCGGTCTGTCTGTCTTCTCCTCCTTTTCCTGTCCTCTGTCCTCTGGTGTTCTCGTCTCTCTGTCTCTTGTCCTCTCTCTTCTTCTCTCTGTCGTCTTGTCCTCTGATTCTCTGGTCGTCTCTCGTCTGTCTTGTCATCTGGTCCCGTGTTCTTCTCGTCTCTCTCGTCTTGTCCTCTGGTCTCTGTCTCTGTCTCTCCTCCTCTCTGTCTTGTCCTCAGTGTCTCTGTTCTTCTCGTCTCTCCTTGTCCGTCGTCTCTCTCTCCTCCTCTCTGCTGTCTTGTCTCTTGTGTTCTTGTGTCTCTCTTCTTCTGTCTGTCTCTGTCTCTGTCCTCTCCGTCTCTCTGTCTCCTCTCTCCTTGTCTCTCTGTGTCTTTCCTTGTCTGTGTCTCTCTGTGTCCTCTTCTCCTTCTCTGTCTGTTCCTCTGATTGCCTCTCCGTGTTCTTCTCGTCTCTCCTGTCTGTCTTGTCTGATTCTCTGTCTCTTCTGTGTCTCTCCTCTCTCCTTCCTGTCTCTTGTCCTCTCTGTCTCTCCCCAGTCCTGTTCTTCTCTCTCTCTCGTCTTGTCGTCTGTGCCTCTGTCTTCTTGTGTCTCTCCTTGGTCTGTCTCAGTGTCTCCGTGTCTCTCTCCTGTCTTGGTCCTCAGTGTGTTCTTCTCGTCTCTCCTGGTCGTCTGTCCTCACAGTGTCTCTGGTCTCTGTCTTCTGTCTCTCCTCGTGTTCTTTGTCCTCTCTCCTGTCGTGGTGTTCTCTGTGTTCTGTCTCACCTCTGTCCTCAGTTCCTGTCCTTGTTCTTCTCGTCTCTGTCGTCTCTGTCCTTGTGTGTTCCTCTCTCTGTCGTTTCTTGTCCTCTGATTCTCCTCTTGTTCTGTCCTCAGTCTCTGTCTCTCTGTTCGTCTCTCTCTCCTCTGTCTTCTCGTCTGTCCTCCTTGTCCTCTTCTCTGTCTCGTCTTGTCATCTTGTCCGTGTTCTTCTCTGTCTCTCCTTGTCCTCTGTCTCTGCTGTTCTTCTTCTCTCATTCTTTCTGTCGTCTTGTCCTCTGATGCCTCTCTGGGGAGTTCTTCTCGTCTCTCCTCCTTTCCTGTCCTTGTCATCTGATCTCTGTCCCAAGTTCTCGTCTCTCCTTTCTATCACCTTGTCATCTGATTGCCTGTCTCAAGATGTTCTTCTCATCTCCTGTCTCTGTCTTGTCATGGGATCTCTCCCCAGATGTTCTTCTCATCCTCCTCTTCTGTCGTCTTGTCCATCTGATTATCTCCCAAGATGTTCTTCTCATCTCCTGTTTCTATCGTCTTATCCATTTGAAATCTCTCCCAAATGTTCTTCTCATCTCTCCTCCTTTCTATCACCTTGCTATCCTCTGAGTACCTCTCCCAAATGTTCTTCTCATCTCTCCTGCTTTCTATCATCTTATCCTTTGAAATCTCTCCCAAATGTTTCTTCTCAGCTCTCCTTCTTTCCTATCACCTTTATCCTCTGATACCTCTCAAATGTTCTTCTCATCTCTCCTGCTTTCTATCATCTTATCCTTTGAAATCTCTCCCAAATGTTCTTCTCATCTCTCCTCCTTTCTATCACCTTATCCTCTGATTACCTCTCCCAAATGTTCTTCTATTCTCTCCTGCTTTCTGTCATCTTGTCCTTTGAAATCTCTCCCAAATGTTCTTCTCATCTCTCCTGCTTTCTATCACCTTATCCTCTGATACCTCTCCCAAATGTTCTTCTCATCTCTCCTGCTTTCTATCATCTTATCCTTTGAAATCTCTCCCAAATATTCTTCTCATCTCTCCTTCTTTCTATCACCTTATCCTCTGATACCTCTCCCAAATGTTCTTCTCATCTCTCCTCCTTTCTGTCACCTTATCCTCTGATACCTCTCCCAAATGTTCTTCTCATCTCTCGTCCTTTCTATCATCTTATCATCTGATACCTCTCCCAAATGTTCTTCTCATCTCTCCTGCTTTCTATCATCTTATCCTCTGATACCTCTCCCAAATGTTCTTCTCATCTCTCCTGCTTTCTATCATCTTATCCTCTGATACCTCTCCCAAATGTTCTTCTCATCTCTCCTGCTTTCTATCATCTTATCCTCTGATACCTCTCCCAAATGTTCTTCTCATCTCTCCTCCTTTCTATAATGTTATCGTCTGATATCTCTCCCAAATGTTCTTCTCATCTCTCCTGCTTTCTATCACCTTATCCTCTGATACCTCTCCCAAATGTTCTTCTCATCTCTCCTGCTTTCTATCATCTTATCCTTTGATATCTCTCCCAAATGTTCTTCTCATCTCTCCTTCTTTCTATCACCTTATCCTCTGATACCTCTCCCAAATGTTCTTCTCATCTCTCCTGCTTTCTATCATCTTATCCTTTGATATCTCTCCCAAATGTTCTTCTCATCTCTCCTCCTTTCTATCATCTCATCCTCTGATACCTCTCCAAAATGTTTTTCTCATCTCTCCTCCTTTCTATCACCTTATCCTCTGATACCTCTCCCAAATGTTCTTCTCATCTCTCCTGCTTTCTATCATCTTATCCTTTGAAATCTCTCCCAAATGTTCTTCTCATCTCTCCTCCTTTCTATCACCTTATCCTCTGATACCTCTCCCAAATGTTCTTCTCATCTCTCCTGCTTTCTATCATCTTATCCTTTGAAATCTCTCCCAAATGTTCTTCTCATCTCTCCTTCTTTCTATCACCTTATCCTCTGATACCTCTCCCAAATGTTCTTCTCATCTCTCCGCTTTCTATCATCTTATCCTTTGAAATCTCTCCCAAATGTTCTTCTCTCATCTCCTTCTTTCTATCACCTTATCCTCTGATACCTCTCCCAAATGTTCTTCTCATCTCTCCTGCTTTCTATCATCTTATCCTTTGAAATCTCTCCCAAATGTTCTTCTCATCTCTCTCCTTCTTTCTATCACCTTATCCTCTGATACCTCTCCCAAATGTTCTTCTCATCTCTCCTGCTTTCTATCATCTTATCCTTTGAAATCTCTCCCAAATGTTCTTCTCATCTCTCCTTCTTTCTATCACCTTATCCTCTGATACCTCTCCCAAATGTTCTTCTCATCTCTCCTGCTTTCTATCATCTTATCCTTTGAAATCTCTCCCAAATATTCTTCTCATCTCTCCTTCTTTCTATCACCTTATCCTCTGATACCTCTCCCAAATGTTCTTCTCATCTCTCCTTCTTTCTATCACCTTATCCTCTGATACCTCTCCCAAATGTTCTTCTCATCTCTCCTGCTTTCTATCATCTTATCCTTTGATATCTCTCCTAAATGTTCTTCTCCTCTCTCCTGCTTTCTATCATCTTATCCTCTGATACCTTTCCCAAATGTTCTTCTCATCTCTCCTCCTTTCTATCATCTTATCCTCTGATGTCATCCCCAGCGTTCTGTTCTCTATTGTCCTCTGATATATTCTGGCTTCCCCATGATATCCCTGCCTCCCGGTTACAGACGTGTGGTGGTCGGTGCTACTGGTTCTCAGACCCAAGCACTTTAAGCCTAAATATTAAGTATTACATTGTTTTGTTTCCTCGACTATACAACGATTGTGTAGCTAGGAAAAACCTTTATTAACTGAGTTCAGAAAATGTCAACAGCATTTGTACCAACATACACAATGCAAGACCTGGGAACAATAGCGCGTCTGACACGTGCCTGTATATGTCGACCACATCAGCATTGCAAACCTGCCTAAACAAGGGAAGCTCAAAATGGTATGTATCAGCGGATGTGTAACCCATAGCTGTCAACGCCGCAGTGGTCTGACCACGTGCTAGCAAGGTAGCCGCATGGTAGTGTGGCGAATGCATTGTGGTGTGTTGAGTTGTTAGAGATAATGGCTTCGACAAAACATTTGCCATATTCCAGAGAGAGAGAGAGAGAGACAGAGAGAGAGTGACAGAGAGAGAGAGGAGAGAGAGAGAGTGACACAGAGAGAGAATGACTGTCAGAGAGAGACAGAGAGAGACACACAGAGAGAGACTGAGAGAGTGAGAGAGAGAGACACAGACTGAGAGACACAGAGAGAGACACATAGAGAGAAACAGACAGAGACAGAGTGAGAGAGAAAGAGAAAGTGAGTGAGAGAGAGAATGAGGATGAGAGTGAGAGAGTGAGTGAGTGAGGAGAGGAGAGAGAGAGTGAGAGAGAGTCAGAGTGAGAGAGGAGTGAGAGAGAGAGAGTGAGAGTGAGTGAGTGAGGAGAGAGAGAGTGAGAGAGAGAGTGAGAGCGAGAGTGAGAGTGAGAGTGAGTGAGTGAGAGAGTGAGAGTGAGAGTGAGAGAGTGAGTGAGTGAGTGAGTGAGCGAGCGAGTGAGTGAGTGAGTGAGTGAGTGAGTGAGTGAGTGAGTGAGTGAGAGCGAGAGAGTAAGAGTGAGAGTGAGAGTGAGAGTGAGAGTGAGTGAGTGAGTGAGTGAGTGAGAGTTGACGGTGGCAGCACTGTGAATGCATTGTTGTGTGTTGGCCTATTAGTGCCACAAGACCTCTAAGCCGAGACCGTCTGTACCTTGAATGTCCCTAACACTTGTACTATCTCAGCTTGGTCTGATACTTACATGAAACAGTCTCATCGTTGCCAGTACGTACGTAATCCAACATACTCCCCTATGCAGTGACGTCAGTTGTGTCCACTACTCAGTCAGTCGTCTCTGACGCCAGTCAGATGTGTCCACTGCTCCCCAGACTACTACATTGTGACGTCAGTCACCTGTGTCCACTGCTAACCAGACCACTACACAGTCACGTCAGTCACCTGTGTCCACTGCTCCCCAGACCACTACACAGTCACGTCAGTCACATGTGTCCACTGCTAACCAGGCCACTACACAGTGACGTCAGTCACCTGTGTCCACTGCTCCCCAGACCACTACACAGTCACGTCAGTCACCTGTGTCCACTGTTCCCAGACGACTACACAGTGACGTCAGTCACCTGTGTCCACTGCTCCCCAGACCACTACACAGTCACGTCAGTCACCTGTGTCCACTGTTCCCCAGACTACTACACAGTCACGTCAGTCACCTGTGTCCACTGCTCCCCAGACCACTACACAGTCACGTCAGTCACCTGTGTCCACTGTTCCCCAGACTACTACACGGTCACGTCAGTCACCTGTGTCCACTGCTCCCCATACCACTACACAGTCACGTCACCTGTGTCCACTGCTAACCAGACCACTACACAGTCACGTCAGTCAGTTGTGTCCACTGCTCCCCAGACCACTACACAGTCACGTCAGTCACCTGTTTCCACTGCTCCCCAGACCACTACACGGTCACGTCAGTCACCTGTGTCCACTGCTAACCAGGCCACTACACAGTCACGTCAGTCACCTGTGTCCACTCCTCCCCAGACCACTACACAGTCACGTCAGTCACCTGTGTCCACTCCTCCCCAGACCACTACACAGTCACGTCAGTCACCTGTGTCCACTGCTCCCCAGACCACTACACAGTCACGTCAGTCAGTTGTGTCCTCTTACTGCCCAGACCACTACACAGTCACGTCAGTCAGTTGTGTCCACTGCTCGCCAGACCACTACACAGTCACGTCAGTCACCTGTGTCCACTGCTCCCCAGACCACTACACAGTCACGTCAGTCAGTTGTGTCCACTGCTCCCCAGACCACTACACAGTTACGTCAGTCACCTGTGTCCACTGCTAACCAGACCACTACACAGTCACGTCAGTCACCTGTGTCCACTGCTCCCGAGACCACTACACAGTCACGTCAGTCAGTTGTGTCCACTGCTCCCCAGACCACTACACGGTCACGTCAGTCAGTTGTGTCCACTGCTCCCCAGACCACTACACAGTGACATCAGTCAACTGTCTCCACTGCTCCCCAGACCACTACACAGTGACATCAGTCAGTTGTGTCCACTGCTCCCCAGACCACTACACAGTGACGTCAGTCAACTGTCTCCACTGCTCCCCAGACCACTACACAGTCACGTCAGTCAGTTGTGTCCACTCCTCCCGAGACCACTACACAGTGACGTCAGTTGTGTCCACTACAGTTGTCTGTGACGTCAGTCAGTTGTGTCCACCGTTCCCCAGAGCCTCCACTAATTTGTGACGTCAG